AGTTTCAAGGTAAAATTGTCCGTCCTTTCGATCAACAGTTTTTTTATACCAGTAATCTTTTTTGAGTAGGCGTTAGACTGGTAGGCTCAGGACTTGGCGATTGTTGCTTTATCAGTTGTTTCACTCTGGTAGCTTTTCTCGTCCAGTGTTTTTTCACGTTGGCAAACATCTTCGACTGGGCCGTTTTTTGCCCAAGCATGTAGTCTAGAAGTCGGAATGATTAATTGTTCTTCATCTAAATCAATTGATTGTGAACCTATGATTTGAAAAAAAAGTGCCTGTGCGGTTAAATTTTTTTTTTACAAAAGGTGAGCATCCATCCAATTGACTGTTACTTTTTTGATATACGATTCAAATGATTTTATCGACTGATGGTTTCGATTCAATCAGAGACAATGTTAAGAGATTAGATTTTGCTGGTATACAAGTCATTCGACACTACAGCAGTTCTATGATGCGTCATATTATAAAATATTAACTTAATATTGTTCTTCTCGCAAAAGTTTTGAAGTCGTTCAAAAACAACAACAATTGATTCGCTCAGATTGACTTTGAAAATCATTTAAGATGATGTTCGTCTGTGCGGAAATTTACAATTGACAGCGTCGAAGCATCAATAATTTTTAGTGGAGAAAATTTTTTGAAACAATCAGTGCATAACAGGATGTGTTTGTTGGCCCTTCAAGTTTTGTCTAATGCGCCAGCGAAATCTCAAACTTAAATTTTTTTTCCAGTAAATTTGGTGGTTTTTGTGCTTGATGCTCCTTAAATCAGTTTTGAATTTTAGATTTTGATGAAATCTGAGCAGTTTCTCCGGTGATGGTAGATTTTTTTGAAAAGATGTGGCCACAAGATGTGTTATGATAACGCCAAGATTCAGAGTTGTTCTCAATGTGTTTCGGGTAGCAGGGCCATGAGCACTGGTTTGTCTTCATTGAACGGCAATCGGTTTTTGTCGTGGAGGTCCCGTTGGAATGTGTTAATGTATGCCCAAATTATATTCAATGGTTTCCCTGTTGTACCTCACCTTTCACTCATTTTAGATTCTTGTCGTCGTTTCGCATCAAGTTGAAAACTTTTTTCCCAACAATGATCACTAAACTTAAAAAGCGAGGACGGCTCCTACAAATCGGATTTGATTTTTTCACTAATTCCTGATGGCTTTTTGACATTTTATCATCAACTTATTTTTAAGCGAGTTCATTTTACGCTGAAACGGTATTTTTTGTGAACTTGACTAGAAGAAAATTCATTTGTTTCTGTCGAATGGGTTAGATCGAATGTTTAAAAATCCCAAAATTGAATAGGAAAAACAAAGATAACACTGTTTCGATACAAAAATTCTGAGCGAGATTAATAATAAAACGATTTAAGTCTTTTAGGTCTTCTGCATATGTTTTGTTATTTGCACAATTTTTTTCTTTCTTCTTAATTTTCCCGTGAAATTCAAACATATTTGCTTTGGTTTTGGTAATTGTTGCTACTACAAGTTCTTTATCGTGGTGTGAAAGTAAATAAAATTGGCTTCTCTCCCTCGGGTTTTTCAAATTTTAAAATATTAAAAAGTCGATTCACCAAATGGTTTAACCTACTCAGCATTTTTTTTCCGTGGGTAGCCTTTATCGCGGATAAAAGAACCTTTTGATCCGTAACAATTTCTTCTTTAGAACTTTAAAGGTAGACTAAGTTTTTCAATTAACTAAAACACCCCTAAAATTTCGATTTCATTAGTCAAATACATCTATTGTTTGTGATTTTTCAGAACTTAAGGCAAACGGTTTTATAAACAAACGATCCGCGTCCCATTTTTCTAATCTCGCGCTAAGTCCGTTTCGTGAAGCGTCTCTTTTTAATGGTGATTGTCTAATACATCAAACAGAGTTTCTGCGATATTTACCATTTGCTTTTTAGTGTTTCGAATGCTTTTGTATGAGACCCTTTTCATCCGTAAGCTTTTTTGTTCAGTAGCGGGTCTAGCTGGGAAGCTAAAGTTGATAAACTAGGAACCGGCTAAATATATTGTTCTAAAGTGACTTACTGAACTGAAGAATGAAAAAACTTCTGAAACGTTTTCGGGATTTGGAAGGTTTCTTATCGAATCTTCTTTCTAGTCAATCGTTTTACTTAAATTTTCAAAATGAAAACTCAATTTAATCTAAGCCATCAAACTCAATATTGGAAAAATGAGCATTTCTACCATTTCACGGTCATACACTTTTCTTCTAGTTTTTTAGGAGTTTTTGTTGAAACGACTTGTGTTTGACTACTGTTACATCAAGGAATTTAAAAGATTATTTGTGTATTAGTTGCTAAATCGTATGTCATTTCAAAGCCAGTCCATCGTCCATTGAACTTCATTGGGCACATGGCCCAGTCTATAAAAAGCAGTTACGAAGCGATAAGAGCCAGTTGTTTTGCCCGTGCCAAAATAACTACCTTGATCTCTAGTCTAAAATCATAAGTTAGCTGTCTGCATGCATTCCTAAGGTCATCTTTGCTGAACCAAACATGTCCCGACTTTTAGTTAGAAAGTTGAAGAGCTTGTCAATCAGTTCGGGTATTTTAGACTTTGTTTTTGGTATTTGTTTTTAGAAACCGGATCATTTAATTATCAAGAATGCAATGCTAAATTTAAAAATCGGTTCCAAACCCTGTGTTTGAGCAGTTTTAAACACCAAACTCGCAAAATTTCGTTCTTCAAAAATTTTTTTTTTCGAAGCCTCAAGCTGTAGAAAATGGTGTCTTTTTGTTCAGTCTTGCATTGAATCGGACCAAATATAAGGTCTTGCTAATGATGTTAATGGTATCGTCTGTAAAGCCATGAAATAATGATCTTGTTTTCTTGTCGACAATTAAGGTTTTCATCAAAAAACTCTCAGATTAAATTTTTGAAGTCTTTTTGAAAAGCTTACCAGGCGTGCCGAAGCCCCCTGAAAAATATACTTTTACAATTGCATTGGATCTTCATCTGATGTTTATTATGTTTTTGGTTTCCTAACCGTGCTCGTCGTAGTTAATTTTGAAATTAAGAAGTGAATAGTCGTCGTCGTCGCTTATCTCTTTTTCTGACGAAGTTTTCAATTCGCCACAATTTTTTTGTATAAGTTCCGATGGGTTATATTGACAATTCAGGTTATGTACAAATTCGTCTACTTTTGCTTTTCAGTCGGTTTTTTTGAATTCGACTGAAAGTCTTCCAAAATTTCCTTTCATTTTACACAGATTATATTCAATTTCATTTGTTGGACGCGCAAAAAAGCAATTGGTAAAAATTTTTCCACGCATCAATGTTCAGGCTGGGTTCTACTTATACAGAATTCAAACTTTTCTACATAAAACGATTGGTACTTGAACGTTCCATTTTTGTTAGCTTCAAATGATTCAAAAAACTAATTTAATCTACGATTGCCTAATTAAGAGCGCCCGCTGAGTATGAAATTTCAGCAATAAGTTAATGTTGGAAATCGGCATTTTCCTTTGTTTAAGAAAAAAAAAACGTCTCGTGTCTAGTCTTTTTCGGAGGTTTTTCCTGTGTTTCTTGTTCTGGCTAGGTCTTTAAGTGCTTCCCAAACTTGCTCATACAATTTTCGATCCTTTTGTTTCTTGATCCTTTTTCTCGATTGTTCATTTTCTGTTTCTTGAGCTCCGCCTGGCAAGTGTGTGCTTGTCTCCACCACGAATGGTTCTTTCAAGCGTTTGATCTCTCGATTTTCCTTTGCTACTATTTTCAAGTGGAGTTGATCGATCCTGTTGGTTGTTCTACAGTGTGACTTGACCAAAAAGCAGGTATCCACTGCAATTTTGGATCATTTGACTGCGCCACATTAAAGTAGGTGGATACCAGTGGTATGTATGTACAATAACTACTTTAGTTAAAAAGAATAAACTAAGAATAAGTTTGACTCAATAAAGCCTCTTTTCTAGTGACGTAGAAAAGTGCCGCTGGACATCAAATAGACACATTTTGGCAGGTATCTAATTGAACTTGAAAGTCAAAACTAATAACCAAAATTACTAACTCACAATACGGATCAATACATTTGCGGTCATATCAAATCAGCTTTTCGTGATAATTTTTAAAAATTAACAATCGGCCTAAAAATTTTTGAGCACAACCCTAAATTCACAAATGAAAGTATTAAATATTATAAAATAGAATTAAGTGGAAGCATTTTTTGGTTGTTTTCTAGTTTTCTCTAGGACAAAAACGAGTTTAATCTGAGCAAAATGAAATTTCGATGAAACTTAACTGTCACTCTAAATGTGCAACCTTGTCAACATTGAGTTTAATCAGGGAGTTTCTTTCAGGAAAGAAACTCTTGTTTATAATCTCAGCTCATTATTTACCTCTTAGCCTCTTTTTGTTTATGGTAAATGTCAACTCTTTTTGAATACACAGCATCTTAAATTTGACATATTTTCAAATGGTCTTACTCAGAAGAAGCAGTCTTTACGCAAAAAAAACTATCAACAAAAAATAGTTTCCTGTGCCGTTAAAAGCGTAGTGAAACCTACGCAAATTTCAAGTCGAGCAGCTCACCCAAGCATAGAATTTCAGAATACTTAGCTCGAATTGCAAACAGAGCACTTTGTTTTTTGAGGCAAAAACAAAAAAAACATATCAATCAAATTTCTTCTATCGATTCTACCTTTCAGTTTTATTTGAATTTTTAGCTTAATGATAACAATTTGTTCTCTATTTTCTGATTAACTTCCATTTTCAGTACGAATCACTTCTTGAAAGATTCATTTTCGTAATATAGTTAAAAACAAAAATTTAGATAACTCTTTATTATTATTACAAAATTTCATTTTTTAATCATTATCTGGCATGATAGCGAGAGAAATTTCAATTAGCTCGCTGCCATTACTGTGAAAGAAAAAACAACGAAGTTCCAAATTTTGGTTTTGGTTTCTCAGTTTCATATGAATATGATTGCCGAAAAGTTTAACACAATTCCGGACAGTTTTCTGCGCCTAAATGATTTTATTTTTGTTAGATGTTACGATGGCAACTAAACGAAGGATGTCGAAGCGTCACAGATCCCACTACGAGCGCAGTTGCCAGACTGACCAGAGCTTCATCAATCAGCCAACTTTTTCATCCAGTCAACAATGCAGCAGCTCATCCATCCTGACAGCCAACACTTCCGCCACGACTTATGCAACAACAGCAACCACCACAGCGCCTAATCCAGTAGTTTACCCGACAACATCAGCAGTGACATCAACTAATCCAGGGGTGCAATCCGGTAGCACTCCTGGGTCGACGTCTCCACCACAGCTCAACCAGGTGCAGATCCCGACCTCCCGGATGTCAACTGGTTCGGGCTCGATGGGAGGTGCAGGGGGTAATGTGCACTATGGGTCGTACAGTTCAGACTACAGTAGCTTGGAGAGCAGCACTGCTTACGCCACAGCCGAGGAAGAGTTGTCGGCGCTGCACGAGCGAATACGACAATACGAAGAGGTTTGTAGCAAATCAAATAAAATCTTGTTCAGCTAAAAGTAAAATTTTCCTCAACTCTGATTTGATATCTTTGAAACATAAGTGGTTATAAATTATTTGGAATTTATTTATTTAAAAAAGGTCTGGAAAACGAGTTAAAACAAGATGATAAAGGGACGTATTAAATTAAAAATAGCATTTTTCTATTTCGTATTGTTAGTCATGATGCTCTTTTTCAGAATCGAGAAGCACTCGTGTCCGACAATAACCGACTAGTGCGTGAACTGTTTGCAGCTAATGAGAGATCGCACACTCTCGAGTTGCAAATAGGCGAATTAAAAGAACACACTGTCGCTTTTCTTCTCCAGCAAATGGAAACTCTAAAACTCCCCATAGTTACCACCAAATCAGCCTCCGTCAATCATCTTGGAGGAACAAATCCTATTAGTGTTGCCGCCACGTCCACATCATTGTCCAATAGTCGCTCAATGGACAATTTCGAACACGGACGAGAGAGATTCGAAAATGGTCGGAAAAACGAGCGAAGCGATAGTCACGTGTGAAATTAAACTGCAAAAAACTAAGAAAAAACATTTTAAACAAAACTTCTTCAAACTAAATTGACATTTATGAATTATGAGTTTCTAAAAATTTTCCTTGATGTAAAAATAGCTGCATTCCCATTTTTGGACAATTGTAAATTCAATGTTTTTCAATATATTGCGTTGTTTTGCCCGTTGGAGAGAAGAATTACCCAAACTGGCGAACTTGAGATTGAAATCGATTTAAATTGATTTTTATACAGATAGTATGCTGTATAGACATCAATTTACGATAGCTCATTTACGTACATAAATCGATTTAGAATGGGCTGAATGGATTTTTGCAAGAAAAATAATCGATTTCAATGAATAAAAAATGGATTTAAATGAATTATTGCAAGGTAGTGAAAACCATCCAAGTCTTATCAAAACTGATTTTTTAATTTTTTTGTTTCAAAGCTGGAGCAAGTTATGTGCTCAGGAAAATATTCATCAGAGCTGCAGAGAGCAAGAGTCACTCGAGGAGAGTTTTTTTTTGCCGCAAGCTATTGCGTTTAAAGAATTCATTTTAAAATTTTTCAAAACTAAAGGTTTCCACGGTAAAAACAAACAAATTTAGGTCATTTTCATTGTTATTGTATTAGGCTGAACTTTGTGAAGCTAATAACAAATAATTTAAAAGATCAAATTGGAAACAAAAACATTTTTGGTCCTGAAATATTTGATATTATTTTTTCTCATGGTTTAATTTCTGGCAAAAAATCCAAGCGGAAAGGCAATTGAAAAGCATACGTTAACCTTTTTCTCCATTGACTGATAGTCCAGAAAACGAAAAATTATATGAATATAATCTGTATAAAATAAGTACACAAAATTGTTAAAAATCAATTTCTATCAATTTTTTGTTAGTAAAGTCCGTAGGAAATTGAAACCAAAAAAATTTACAAAAAAGGAATTAAAATCAATTTAGAATAAATTGAAATTGATTTTTAAGCTACATTTTTGTAGCAATCTAAATTGATTTTAAGTCTACTCAAATCATTTTTGTAGGTCTCTGCTATGTTATCTGTATAAGATCGATCGCAATCTATTTCTTGTCTGCACAGGAGGCCATTTTTTGAACCATTTCTCCATCTCTGATTTTATAGTAGAATGTGACTTTATCGAAACCACAGCGGAATGTTCGTGCTTAGGCCGTTTTTTTCAGTTAATTTTTGCTAAGCTTTTTAACATCTAAAAGATATTTGTCCGAAGCTCAAAAATAAAAAATATTTGACCTAAATTGTGGTATTTATTAACGCGCAAATTATATTGACCTAATAAAGCGTATATGGTTAAACAAATCATTCCAAATTTAATAGAGCCAAATAATTTGATCTTACTACTACGCTAATAGATGCAAACAAAACGCTAATACATACTAAGCTCATAAATTTTACGTTAATAGATGCTCGTATATCAGAACGAAGCCGTGAATGATCCAAAAGCACAGTTCAATTTGAAACTTATCCAGCCGCCACTTACGATTGTTATAAAAACGCAGCACATCACGCTTTAGTTCTCCTAAAATGGCCAGTCTTTATTGTAGGCCACTCTTTGGGCTGCAGAAAACAATGTTTTTAGATATCATAAAAAAAAACAATTTCAAAACGTTAAGTTAAAAAGTCGAAAATTAATGAATAAAAGAAATATGTCCGAACAACAAGACTACTCGTACATCAGAGCAAAGCATTTCAACGCCAATTCAAAAATTTTTTTTTAAAACACTGATAGAATTGCCAAAAAAAAAATTTAAAAATCCCTGCAAGCTATGTAAGTAGAAAGGGATGTTTTCAGCGCTTGACAATCTCAAAATATATACCAACTAACTGCCTTAATTCAATTTGGAACGATTAATCCGCCGTTTGCGCGTTTCACATCAACGCAAAATATCGCGCAAAAACTATTCGAAATTGCCCAAAACAGCCATTTTCGAACCCTTATAAGCTTAAAACAAATCTCACAGATAACTGTATTCGTATATGTAAACAATGACATTTTTTAGATGTATTAAAAAGGTTAAAAACGGTCGCGTAAAAAACCAAAAACTGACGGATTAAAAAACTCAAGCATAAAAATTCCTTTTTGCTCACTTTCCCTTTTTTCAGAACATCACTTTGTGCCTTATATATGTCGTCTGTGATGTCGTATTTTTGATCAAAGCCGTTTTTAGCTGCTCCTCCGTTTAGAAATCCTGTTCCTGTGCTAGAAATTGTTTTGAACTATTCGTGATAAACGGAAATAACCATTTGTTCGAATGTAGTGTTTATTCTTTTTTATTCTGCACCAAACTAGATACCACAACAAACAACAGATATGGTCAAATGATTACGTATAGTGTAAGTGTGTTGCTTAGTTTAACATTTCAATAAGCATGATTTGGTTTATTATGTTTCATTTGGCATCAATTACCATTTTTTTTACTATAATTTAGAATTATTTAGCATAAACCTCAATAAACCGATTAATTAGGCATTTTATAAACCTTTATTTGCAATTCAATTGATTATTTGAAACTGAAACAGTTCTGAAGAATTCGATAGAATCTTTCAATTTTTTACTTTTTAAATTGAAAATAGCATTTCAGGTGATTGAGAACCCTTAGAACCAAGAACGTGAAATTGAAATTTTTTAAACAAAACCTTTACCTCTCGACAGCATGCACTTACAGTTTTTAGTTTTCAAGTCAAACAAATCGGGATAAAACTATTAAAACTTGAAACTTGAAACGAATTGTTCTCAATTTGGGTTGGATTCAGACAAATGTTGGAGATTTTGTCTTGGGGGGTTTTTCAAAAAAAAAAATCGAAAACTTTTAATCTTTAAATTTTAGGTCAACTAAATTGATTTTCTTAGCTCTCCCAAATCAATATCAAGACCATATTTTGACCAAATTTTCTGCGCCCACTTCCACAAACTTAGTATGTTTTGATTTTTAGATATTTTTAGGGTCAGTCAGTTCAGATATCTTAGAATAATTTAAAGAGAGACCCACTGGGTCAGCAGGGGTCAAATCACTGAGAAAGAGCGTGCAACCCTCCCCCCCCCCCCTAAATCCGCTCCTGCTAAGAACAACCATAAAATTATTAAAATACTTTTTATTTTGGGAATTTCATGAACAAAATCTTACCCTAAAAACAATCAATTCTGTCCTTTTAAGATCAATCAAAAATTATACCAAACTACTGCACCGATTTAAGTCAAAAACACATCAAAAAGATCCACTTATGTAGCCGAACAAATTTTAGGAACACTATAATCGTCTAAGACTTGCAGAAATAAATTTATTTTAGTTTAATAGCAAAAAGAGTCCTTTTTATTATACGAGATACCATTTTGTAAAAACTAGCGCCAATTTCTGGAGAATGTAGCAATCTCATTTTGTTTGGCTCTATAAGAGTCTCATTTGGATACACTTTATCAGAAATTGATGCCCTAGTTTAGGTGTAAATTTTAATAGACTAAAAAGGACAAGAGTGATTGTTTTTGAGGTACACTTTTGGAACAGATTTTTGCGAAAAAATGCACCAAAATATTTCTGCTGTAATTCTGAGCAATTTTTCTCCTATTAAATGATATCTTTAACAACCAAATTTGAGAAAAACGTGTTTCAAATTTCAAAATTCATTAGTTTTTCGTTTTGTACGGATAATTTAAATCAGCATTATCAACTACTTTTTTTGATATTTTTTCTTTTTTCCAGCTGCACAAAACAATCAATTGCGACTGTAAAAAGTTTTTCTGTCTTGGAAAATTTCTCTTGTTTACACAAATTTTGCTGAGCTAACAAAGCTAAAACATGTATCAGTTGGTTATTTTTAGTTTCGACTGGTCTAAGCAAAAAACAAGAAGCAAATGATTCGATTAAATTATAACTTCATTTTCTGCAAACGGTTTAATTTTAGAGAAAAAAGAATTCAACATTTTGTTCGAAAAATGCCAGAGAAATTTCGATTGTTTTTCTTTGCAAAACTCGGCCTAAATCAACCTCAAAACTTGGTCAATTCGTTAGCCTTAATTTTACACAAAAACTACTCGACAATTCGTCTCTAAATTGAGCGCTTGCTTACCCAAACCAAGTCATGGTGGCTATAAAGCCTAAAACTCGTTTTTGAACTAAACGTCGCTCTTTTTCACAAATTTGAAATGAAGCAAAAATATTCAGTAAACGAGTTGACCCGAAACGACCCGTTTTAAGCTGACAATTTTGGTCCAACTTTGCAGAGTCGATTACCCGATAATTGCGGAGGCCCAAGTCTAAGCAAGCTTTATACTTATCCAGTTAGTTGTTTTTAGTTATGAAGGTATGTTTTATGAAACTCAGATTCAAATTTAATAATAGTAGACACCTTTAGCGCTATTTGTTTAAATTTAAAACAAAATTAAAAAAAAAACGTTTTCGAAACTTCCTAACCGTTCGTTTTATTCGAATAGTTCAAATCAACACTGCATATTGATTGCGGGTATGAAAATGTGAAATCAGAATTGTATATAGAGCGCTAATATGAACATACGGGTTGACAATTTTCAGATGTAATTTTTGAACAGAATCGAAGCTGCACTTCGCAGACACAAGCGAGAAAACGATGATAAGTAGCTCTAATCAGTGTTATGAGAAAAAGTATAAAAAGATAATATAGCTTTTGCTAAGTGTTGGATTCGATCATGCGATCTCGAAATTAAAAGTTTGACGCATCTGCGCTACTGTTCCTCCCTTGAAACTTCGTTAACACTAGCCAGCAATAAAGCAGCTACAAATTCTAATAATTTGCACTATGCAGCTAAAATTTCACAAATATAAACGAAACTACTTCTAAGTGAGGAACTGAACCTCCGACCAGTATATTAGGAATCTCACATCCTTGCCTCAGTGCCACGGTTGCTTGATAAACTACAAACACTAGCCAACAACAAAGCAGCGAACAGATTTCATGAAAATTCCAATAGAACAGTTCGTGATTGCAGCAAGCATGAAAACAAGGAGAGTCACACTAATACACTACGTTGGCAAATACTAGACACCGAAACAGACCTTTTGCACTACAGCACTACGACTGAGATCTGCTGATTTAAGAAATGTGTCAAAATTGTAACGAAGAAAAAATTAGCAAACATTTGAGTCATTTATAGTAAAGAAACGTATGCATTTTCCTGGTTTAAACTATTTCCTACTGTTTCTTTAAAAACTCAAGTATTAGACTTTAATTCTTGATTCAATGCATAAAAACCTCAAGAATACAGCTAATGTACAGTTGGAAAAGTGTTAATGAACTCAGGAAAACCGAAAAATTTAAATCGATTTGATTTCTAATTAATTGAAATGATATACCATAAAATACAAATTTGAACGAACGAACAAATCTGGGGAAAAAACATGACTTGAATGAGTTTAATTTAATACGTCCATTAACACTCAATTAAGTCGAACAAGTGAAAAATCAACAATATAATATAGCCAACTGACTGTGGACATTTTCTCACTTGAATATTTAAGTTACTCGCTTCGGAAAGCAATGTAATACAGATCAACTGCAGTCATTGAGTTTCAATCGAAGTCACATTAGTCTTCGAAATGATCACTCATTAAATTGTTCACGTGCTGGTTGTTCGCAGGAACTCTGCTGGATCTGGGCTGTGACCTCACTGTTCCCAGACTGACCAGACCTGGTTGGATTAACTCTTGGCTACTTCTAAAACCACACTAAATTCGAAGATTCCTTAGTGATCATAGGAGCCGCATTATCTCCACAGCTAAAATCGGACCACTATGATTTTGAAACTCACCTGAAAATAATGAAAAAAATTGTCGTCTTCTTTTTAAAAATTAAATAAAAAAACTTGGAATTGCCTTATTTGACAACTAAATACATCCTCGGGGAATTTTAAACATACAAACCTTGAGTCCATTTGTAGGTTTCCAAAGTCGAACGAGCTCGAAGGCGACATGGAAAAACTATTCACTGTTGCCGCCATACTCGACGGCTGTTGCCACGCAGGTTGTGGAGGTGCCACATTCTGAAAGCTAATTTGACCTCCATAATGGATATTTGGGTTCCACTGGTTCATATTTTGCTGTTGTTGCAAATTTGTGGCGTTCGAGAAGGACATACCAACTGCAGCGCTGTATTGCGAATACGGATTATTGGCCTGGTTAGCTTTTGAATCGTTTTGGTTCATTAGTGGAAAGTTAGAAGCCCAATTAGCATTTCCAAGGGATGTTGACTGCATCTGTGGGTTATTTGTATTTTGCTGAGTGCTTTGCTGTTGTTGACTACCAGGTGCTCGAATCATGCTCTGATGTTGTGCGCTTCCGACTACCGTCCAACCATCCGCATCAGGACCTGAAACAGCAGAAAATTGAAAAATGCTTTAACATAGCCAACAGACAGTTGGAAGTCTGAATGCACACAGGAAACAGGAAAAACAACAGACTATTACTTTTAAATGAATCATGGCCCACATTTGGAAGAAAAAAATGGCTCTTTGAATTTCAGAAAATTTTCTATGATTGACAATTATTTCATGAAAATATTGAATTAGAGAACACTGGGTCAATAGCTAATTTTTATTCCATTGAGAATTCTGAAAATTTTAAGTCCATTTTGGAAACTTTAATCAATTCTCATTTTTTGTGCCTTTTGCACATAACTGAAGAAATTATTTTTGCTTTTTCTTTTAGAGCAAATGAATTTGCATAAACCGTGAAAGGAAATCAAAAGTCGATCTAAATTGAGCATTAACAACTTTTAAAATAGTTCCATGAAAAAAATCAAGACCTAAAAAATAGATAAACCAAATCGTTGATTAACACTTCAACATGGCCAACCGACAGTCGGCAAAGTGTCAATGATCCCAAGGAAACCAAAAAAGGGAATTGAATTTTTGCTGAAAATACTCGTTATATGTTAACAGATCGCATAAGAACAAGGACAGCCTATTCCTGGCAATAAGACAGAGTATTCCGACTTAGACATTTATGTTCAAAAATTCAATGGAACGCAAACAATCAAAATCGAAACCTGTTCAAAAATTTCCTATTTTTTTAAATTCAAAGGGTCGATTGAATTAAGTAGGAGCTACAAGAAGAAGAAAAGACATTTATTCTAGCTAAATTAACCATAAGTAATGCAGTAGAATTAAATTGAGAGTTCAGTTGTATGTTATAAAATTTCAGCGGAAAATTCAGACCGATTTTTCTTAACGCTGACATCTTTTTCGATTTCTTTTGGACTGAAAATCACGACCAAAACTATTTCAATATGAAACCACAATTGAGATCTACAAGCATTCCTAGCCGTTTAGAGTTAAGAATTATTGCTTCGAGGTGCGGATTGAATTTTAAAGGTTTTTTAAAGACCGTGATCAACATTGGATATTTTTCGAAAAAAAACGACGTGGCCTAAATTTCACTTGAAAATTTTCTTCATAAATACTGAAAATCTTTTTTCTTATGCGGTGTCTTTTAAATATTGAACGACAAGGTTTCAATTTATATGAACTTTCATAATTCTCAAACTTCTAAAACCAGAACTATGAATCCGGATGTACAATAATACACAGAGTCGAAGCTGAGCTTCGCACCACTTGCGATACAAGAACTGTAGCATGAAGCACGATGACGGAATAATTGGAAAACAGAGTTTCTAGCGATGTCACAATTGAAGAAGGAAGTGGAAAAATTTTTAATTTTCGAAAAGGTCCTAGTGAGGTTGACTTTGAGCATACAAATATTGGTGCCAGAGTTTTTTCGATCTCAAAAAAGTACAACCGGTTCTTTTGAGGAAAAAAATTGGTTAAAAAAAGTCGACAGAATTAAACCCGATAGTCAATAAGCTGAACCTCAGTCGAACATTTTCGTCAAAAAAATTATTTTATACAAAATTACATGTAACTCCCACAAAGGATCCACGATAGCTATTTACAGAGTGTATGCAAAGTGGACTACAGAATTTGGAACCAAACCGACAGAATTTAAGTCAACAACCATGAAGGCGAAAAAATCATCAGCAAAACATTAATATCGAAACTCAATAATTTTACACGCAATGGTTGGCGTTCTAGAAATAGCATGTACCAGTAGCAACTGGTACACAGTAAATTTGAGATTTCATGAAATTCAGCATGTCAGCAGCATAGCAGCAAGTAATTCAACTAATTTTTTTAACTAGTTGTTAACCCGAAAAAAGTCTTTATTCCGATTTGATAGCCCTTGATTTGATCGCAAATAAAAATTAATCATCGTTTCCAAGTGAAATCATTACGCAAACAGAGTTGTACAAATGAAGAATTCTTTTACAAAAACATCATTTGTTACAAAAACATCACAAGACTAAATTAAGCTGGTTTTCAGGTGCCTCAGAATAGATACAGTAATGAACAAGAACTCTATCGAATGCAAAAATAAGTCCAGACAAAAAGTCATGAAACACTTACCTTGAAATTGGTTTCCTGGTAGTTCGGAAGGAGCTGGAAAACTGGTGACATTCGAAGCTTGTCGCGTGTTTAAAACTCCTGGCTGAGACTGTGCGTTAAAGGAAGCTTGTTTGAGACGCTTTGAAATTACAGAAGTTAAGCTGGTGTCCGGGATTTTCACCCGATTTCTGAAACAGCAAATTCTCCGGGTTGTAATTGTCTTCTGAATGAAATTAATTTGATTAAACCCGAGCATCTGAATTTCTTCAAAATACTAAATTTTCCCGTTTTCGCAAGACATAGACGGCGATTTAGATATCCCTTTTTATCGGTCCATGAACTTATAATAATTTTTACCTGTAATCAATTTAGCCACGGATTCATTTGTATCAAATGTTTCAGAATATTTTTTGTAAAATCTGAATGAAGTTTCTGAAAAAGCATGATTATTAAAAAGAGCATAAAAATAATTCGTATCTATGCACCTGTATCCGAACACGACTACATGTTTCATGGGTTCCTCGTCATACGACTGCGAGTCTAGTCCGTAGAAGTCTGCCAATTCATGCACTATACGTCTCTTGGTTGCATTCATGGGTTTGAAAGCGTACTGCTGTTTCATGCCTGTATCAACACAACTCTGCACTAGATGGAAGAAAGTCTTCTCTAGTTCGTAGATGAATTCACCATAGCCAGCAGTCGTTCTAAAAAAAATAAAACAAAATTTCAACAATTCCCCGTAAGTGGTATACTTTTAAGCACTTTCTAGCATGGCTCGGAAGAAATTGTATTATTGCATAAAAACATGTTTTGTCTTGTTTTAAAAATTCCCTATCACGTTTTTCGGTGTGACTCAACGAAAAATACGTTAAGCAACAGATTTCTCCCAATAACTGCTCAATAATGCTAGTTCTATATCTAAGAGAATTGGCTTTGCTGAAAATCTTCTCTAGGTAGTTGCCATTCTCAAACGAAAATGGTAACTACCTAAGATTAGTGATTGATCAAGGATTTTCCCGAGGGGCGGATCTTCACAAAAAAAATTGTCAAAGGTTGTCAAAAAAAATTGTTCGAAAGACTTTTTCGAAGGCACTTTTGAAATTATTTGACCTTCCTCAAACGCTCTTCCCACTTAAGTATACGATCAGGAAATGCGAACACATTATGTTATTCAAAAAGACGCCATGAATGGCGTGTCTTGTGGTAGTAACTGACCCCGTCTGGATGAGATTGTCCGTATAGGGGACCACCATGTTGTTCTCAATGGGTCCGAAAGCGTCGTCCAATTTGCGAAGCCACGCATCTCTCTTGCAGCTATCTTTGCACGGCAGTTGGTAGCAAATAGTAGAAGAGCTTGCGCGGTTTCCCTCTGAACTCACAGAGAGACCACTCATTGCACTTTGGAGCAGGTATCTGAAACATACAGCACCAGTATCAGTTCCGACCCCGGTTATATTTGAACAGAAAACAAGGCCAACTAAGGTCGAAAAAGTGTAAACTAACTTTAAAAAAAAACAAAAAAGGACTGCCTTTCAAAGAATAATTTCAGCAATTCAGTTAATTAAATACATCATGTTCATACTCTTTGAATATCCAGAAAAATTTAATGTTTCACAATTGAAACTAACCCAATTAGAGAAAACGGGTTCAATAGTAAGGTTTTCATTCTGCTGAGAAATCTAAAATTTAAGATCCACTTTTGAAGCCAAAAGTCATTCACATTTTTTCGCGTCATTTAAACTTTTGCCACTGTAAAAATAAGTTGTCTTCCTTTTAGCCTGTAGCGTGGCGAGATTCCAAAAAATAATAATTTTAAAATCCCTCAGTTTCGAAAAACCTAATCTGGATATTTCCGCTTTTAGGACTAAATTAGCGAGAGTGTACGTTTTTTAATTCTTTATCAATTTTTGTGATTAGAATAAATTACACTGAACGAATTCTACGACATTACATCTTCTACGACAAAGAATAAACTTAAAGCATGTAAACAAAGCATATTGAAAATAACCATAACTCATCACAGAAAATTTTTTTTAAACAGGTCCTAAGTTGGTATAACTTGATTATTCTTCGCTTTATGGCCCGAAGAAAGCAATACTACGTACCCTTGGCATCTCTGCTCATACTCGTGACAGGGCAACTGTCCCTTCACTCTACCACAAACACAGCTCACGGGCACCAGCTGTTTACAGGGCGTGTCTGGACAATCGCCCTGACCATAGTGACATCTCTCGTTGCATGCGTGACCACACCCAAATCTACGCATCTGACATTTCTGCTGACACGACTGACCATCTGACAAACAGGTTCCCTAGAACAGAAAAAACCATAGCAGTTTTTTATTGCCCCGGTCCTACTCAATGTAGTAGCAAGTGGGGGAGGCGTAGCCGGTCCCACCTTGAGGAGGCGGATGACACGGGGACTCCTCCAACCGTGGCCGGTGTGGGATTCGAACGCAATAATCTCATGTTAAGAGACACTTGCCTTAACCCACTCGGCCACGGCTGCTCGTTGCCGCTGATTGTCCTTTCTTTATTGTTACTCGAGGTTGTGCTCTTCCTGCTGCGGAATTATCGGAATCTATTAAGTTTCTTGGCTCTTCAGTTTTTCAGGCTCTTCACCGTAAGCTCGAATTGTTCCTAACTTTTACTAATAGTATGGGAAATCTCTGCTTCAAGAGGAGCTAGATTTTGATGGTTTGCGGTTCATTTATTATTCCGATGAACTTGACATAAACTGTAATTTCCTTTCGATTTGTTCGCATGGCAATCAGCAGTTATTTACACTCCAAAAAACATGAACGGAAGTGCCATGAACAGAAGTAACTATAAAAAAGACTAGTTTTTTGAAAAAAAAACTTCAACTTTCGAAAATTCAAAAAATATATATACGACCTCAAAGCTCTTTGAACTTCAAGAACAATTTATGATTGACACTTTTTTGAGTAAAAAAAACCCTATTTGGGTAAAATTTTTATTTTACTGGAAATCTAATAATTTCCGTGATAGTTTTTCGTGACCTTTACACATTATCTGTTGTTAAATAGTGGACATTGCCTTCCTTTTAACAAACAAATGAACTGAACTTAAAAAGAAATCAAAAGTCAAACTGCGAAGAATCAAAATTGGGTGCGAACAAAGACTTTTTCCTAAAAAACAACAAAAATCACCAAGACCTATATAAGAGTACTCACTACGTTCATGACTCTTAAAAGGCCAAAAACAATTACCAAAATGCAAACACTAGCAAGAACACGACAAAAAGCTGCTCTATAAAGTGCAATAAGAATAAGTAGAATAAGCCTCGAATTAGTAAAAACTCAGCTAGTCTCGGATTCGAACCTACACCCTCCTGCTTTTTAGATATTATGAGACTCGCGCACAAACAACTCAGCCATGGACGCTTATTCGAAGCCAAACACCTTAAGCAGAGAATAGAATAGACGCTATGCAATTTCCAATGCTACAGTGAAACTTCCATATAAGTGAACACTTTCAATAAACAATTTTATTTGTGAGTTAGGTTAGAAAAAAAAGAAGGTTCGTACTAATACACTAACGCTCGCAAGCTCGCGTTATTTAAAAACCGGGTTAACGATTACACCCAATAATTGACCAGAATGAAGTTTGAATACCGTCACATGATACATAAGCAATTTATTACGATCATGGACGCGAATCTATATTTATATATCTCGAATTAAAAAATTCGCTTTTAAAATCCAATGGCTAAAACAAAGCCTATGGGAAGGACGGTTGAGTTGCAACTCACTTTTCCTTTCTTCCTTTCAGAGCATGCCTTGACAAGCTGAACACCTTTTTTTGCATGTTCTTAGTGTTATAGAAAAAGTTAAAAGCAAATCAATCATAAACACTTATTATGTATGCCTATCACCTGAATGAATACAATCCAAATTCTTACCGAGTGACAAGTTTGTGTGCACAAATGATCACAATTCGGTAATCCCTTCCCACAAGGTCTTCCACAGCTCATCCTCTGAATATAACATGGCACACTGTTCATGATATGGTGCTCCCCCAGACATGAGGCTGCAATCAGCACCGGACAGGGGGGACACTTCTCGTCACTGTGGCAGGTGTGCTGGGGTGGGTGGCCACAGGGGTGTTGTCGCATGCAGAGATTGTCGCAGGTGGGAGGGGAGGTGCCACAGGGAACAGGTGCTGGGATCCGACTCTGACCACAATGACACGTCAAGTCCTCGAAGCCTGTAGAATAATACACAATCATGAATTAATTATAATGAGTAAGTTATTGAACTTACTGAACTTATTGTTGTTGTTGTAGCTACATCGATCTCTGCTTCGAATTTCTGATTGAATTGGAGATATCGATTAGGTTAGAGAGTTAGGGAATTTTCGTTTACATTTGGCGTTCGTCTTTCTTACTGTACTTCAAAAAAATTAACGTGCGTGAGGTTTTTAGGTAAATGAACAGATATTTATTCTAAAGTTGAGCTCGAGCCCGATAACTTACTTTTTAATTTTAAAAAATGGTGAGTAGATTGTGAACTTACTGAATTGCCAACACCTCTCGCAGTTACCCCTGTGACAGTTCTCTTGGCACTGGTGCACCCCACAGGACAATAGTCTATTACATGTGGCAGCACACACATGACCCTCTCCCACAGAATCCACACAGCACAGTTTGCGACACTGGTGTTTGTTGCAGTGCAGTTTACGCTTACACACTCGAGTGCACACAATCACTCCATCGTCTGAAAAGATACAGATGATAACAAGGATAGCCAGTTACTGTGCAAGTAGCACAAGATATTCCAACCATAGTCTTACAAAAATGTTTTTCAAATAAGTGTCGGTTTTTTCTGCGTGATGTGAGAAAAGGAACTGTGCGAAAAACTAGAAATTAATCATATTCGGCAGTCAAAGTACAATAGGCAAACTGGACAACACTTTTTTGACCATTTTGAGAAATGACTAGAAGAACAAACAACACTGCTCGTATCAGGAGGAAGCCCTGAATGTTCCGACTGCTTTTTAACGTCTATGGAGCAGTAAGATGAAAAAATGAAATGTAATAAAATAAAATGAAAATTTGTTTTTAAAATTTGAGATTTTTTGTGAAAATCATCCCCCCGCACGCCATATAAAATACAAAGTTATAGATTTCCCTTCTAGTAACAAATCAATTATGGCAAATAAGCTTCCTTCAACCAATTTGGAACGATGTCTAGGACGGATTAAGTCTCTGCTTAGCGTTAATAGCGCGATATATATCGCGCGTTAATTGTCCCAAATTGGCCAAAATGACAATCTTTAAACCTCCATAACTTTACGAAAAATGATCACAGGTACAATAACTTTTCAAATTTAGGCTCAGGACAACAACAAGAAGAAGAATTAATTTACCAAAGTTACAAAGTATATTTTCAAACATTTTTCCAAAAAGAATAACTGCGCTTAACTTTGAAAGGATAGGTAACGAGATCAGCTGATCTGCTTCAACCCTACCCTGACAACAATACCTTTTGAATGATTTTTAAAAAATTCCGTCAAAAATGGCTAGTTAGATATTCGAAATTTGTCTAAAGAAAAAAAGCATCCCGAGCACAAATATTCCGTTATTTTCGTTACGAGTCGGAACAAAAAAACTTTTGCTGGAGTAAAACTGAATTTACGTATTATTTCTGTATTAAAAAGCTGCTCGCTCGCTTTATTCGCTCGAAATTAGACCAAAAACCTAAAATTGAAAACGGTTTCGAATCTAAAAGTCAGGGTTCGAATCTTGACTGCAATGGCTTTAATATTATATATCACTCAATCCCTATTGACGCTTATTTATGGTACGTGATTTTGTGTGGAAAACAAAACAGAAGGCAAACTCGAAACCAAAGTTCCTCCCCACTTTCAAAGGATGGAAAAATAATTAAATATCGACACCAGAGCAAAATAAACCCCCGCCCCCTCCCAGGTTTCAGCAGTTTTACCATTGCTCGTTTCGCGACTGCTGGTTTGACTGGTTGTGACTATTAAAAACTGCGATTGATGGTAAACGTGTTGAGATACTGGTGCTTTTAACATGCGAACCGTGAATTCTGAACACGGTTCGCATGTTAAAAGCACCAGTATCTCAACTACTATTTGCGTGGGCCGTGGAACTTTAATCAGCCCAAAAACAACTCTTGAAATCGACAAAATGCGTACGCTAGGTGTCGTCGAGATTAATTGGTATCGTCGAGATAAATGACCAACACACGACTACCATAAGATTACACGGGCTGATAAGTTCTCTACTGCTTTTTAGCCCTTTGCCGCTTAAATAATGTATGCATGGTTTAGTTATTTTTCTGGACTGGGTACAAATTGTCAATCTGAATCGACGAGCATGAATTGTGGGATACTAACTGAATATCTCCTGACAGGGGACTGTGACTGTGTTGGCCCCACACCTGCATCTAGACTGTGTCTCGAGGGGACAGACGGGACAGGGGCCCAAGTGGCAGGGGAACTGACACCTGTGCTTCTTGTCTAAGCCAAACACACACACACTTGCTATAACAGTTGATTTATGATAAACGGTGTCTTTTCATTTAATACCCACACCAGTATAAAGCCTTTGCTTGAAGCTTCACTGGAAACAAATTTCACATGCATGCTCAATTCACTGCCTCAATACGGGTGGAGGACTAGAAGATGATAAAAGATGATTCGCGCATTTTTTTAAATTTCTTATTTTAATTCCAGCATTTTGAAACTCATACTGATTTCGAAGCTTATATTTGCAGTACAAATTACATTTATATTGCAATTTCAGTAGCGCTGATGTTTCAATGATCATCAGTTAAATCTAAAAAATATTGTTTTCAGATTTAAGTGATGATCACTGATACATCAGCGCTACTGCAATTGCAATATAAATGTAATTTGTACTGCAAATATATGATCTATATCTAAAAACAAAATATGGCAAAAATGTCTACAACTGAAGACAAATTACTAAACAAAATCTAACGACGAAGAGCAAGCAACGCCTATAATTTGTCTTACTGTGTGGTCCGCACTTGAGCACTTTGCCACATGGGTTATTACAGGTTGGCACTTTGTCCAGACACGACAGTCTGGCTCCGAAGACGGATACGTTGAACTTGCCACAGGGACATGTTTTGACGACGTCCAGAGACGTCTCGCACTGGCCACAGTCGCCCGAATGGCAGATCTTCTCGCACTTGTGATTGCCACAGTTAAGCGTCTTCCCACATGGCTATAAATAATCAACCTTCTTTCGAAAAAAATGTCTAACAGTTATGTAAAAGAAAACTGTCTTGAGAAAAACTCAGATATTATAAATGTTCAATTAAAAATCGGAACACAATGCAAAAAAATTAGCTAAATAAGGTTTTTCGCAGTGTTTCATGAGAGTTCCGGAAAATGAAATGACGAAATAAAAAATAACATCTTCTACTGACCTGCTTGCATGAGTAGTGCTCTATATTGTCGGTGCATACTTGGGTACACTTGTCCCTGGCACAGAAGCAGGCCACATCCACAGTCTCCGTGCAGTCCCCACAACTGCCCCTGTGACATGTCTTCTCACACTGGTGCTTCTTACAAGACAGATCACGCCCACACACCTACACAACAGACTCAACTCTTAACTTATTCACCGTATTTTCAATTTTGTTAAAGCGCATCTCTGAAAGCCTATTGTTCCAACTATACTTTGACGACGTACTTGGTTTAAAATCCATCTGATTGGAGCGTTTTTATTCGTCTTTTTGTTCCGACCACTCTCGAAGAGTGGAAAAGAACTATGGATTAGGGTCAAGTTTTTTAATTTTTTTTCAGCCAATTTAGACTACCCACGGGAGGCTCGTTCGGGGTCAAGCATGGTATCATATTAAAAACCTATTGGCAGTGATTCGTATTCTATAATTGTGTGTCGAAAAAACTGTCTCAGTCTCAGTGTCGAGAAAAACTGGTCTGAGTTATTTCGTTTTTTTTAGACTAAATTAGAAAAGAAATTAGACAGGAATTGAAGGCTGATCTCAAAATTTATTTCTACTAAAATTTTAACCCTTCATTATCTATTAATTAGCCAATTTTGTCCTATTTTAAAAATATTTTCTTGATTTCTGAATTTTTCTTCAATCATGTCGCAACATTCTGCTTATTGCACTGCAGCCGACAAAAGGACCGAAACATGATAACATGAATATGACATGATATGTATTGGAATGACCATAAATGACCCACTAAAGTGTTGAAAAAACCCACAAAACAAAAAAATGGCGTTTGAAAGGATATATCCGAGGAGAGCTTTCCAGTAGTGATTCTTTGCGAGACTCAAGCAAGTGCCACGAACCAATTAAATCAACTATAGTGGCTATTTTGCACCATGTACAACCTAAATGTTTACGAGATATTTTACAGTAAGTTAAGCTTTTCGATAAGCTAAAAGCGTATGAGTAATTCCAGATCGCTTGAATATCAGGAAATTATGATTAGAAAGGGCTTTCCTCGAATTTTCAGAGTTATTGGTGATATTATTAAACAAAAACAAAGGAAACCGATTCCTCGAAATCATTTCTAATATCATACCATTTGATTCAAGTACACAACTGTCGGATACTTTAACTTATGTAGTTCCGAACGACTCTGTCGTATGGCAAGACAAGTGCCCAATCTAGCATAGCCGGCGATGTTACGACTACCCACGCATGGGTCAACCTCATGCACCCTATCTTTAGCTAAAATATCATACCAATTCGGTTCTTATCAGCATAAAAACCGAATTGAAATCAAATTGAAAGACCGCGGAAAGTTAAACTGCTATGGACGTTGATATTTAGCCAACCGAAGTAGACAATCCAACTTCCGTATTAACCAGCCACAAACACCGAAGTTGGACTATAAGCGTGGGCCAAAAACTATGACACCTGACTTATCACCAAAACATATTTTGAACCAGAGGGGGGGGGGGGGGGGGGGTAGTGAACTGTTTTTCATTTTTCATCCAATTAAAAAACGCAACTTGTTTTAAGCTTAGAACGTAGTTTTTCACTTTCTTTCGGGTTCACTTTTTTAGCTGTTAACAACCAAAACGAAACAAAAAAGCGTTTATGTAAAAACAATTAAAGAAATTTTCCCCAATTTTACGATATCCAGTTTTAGATGAGTACACTTTTTCGTAGATTTTAATTGTTAATTAACTTTTCATTAAAAATATTTAGGGTCGAAAAAATAAACTGCTATTTGAACGAAGTAAGGTTCTAGTTTTGTTTTTTGGTTCCTCAAAAATGATGCGACTTCTAAAATCATTACAACTTACAAATGCCATGAATCAATCACATTTGTGACATTTACTAACAATGAATGACAGCAACTCTTTGGACGAGTTATTACGTTAAGTTAAGCAAGGCCTTTAGATTTCCGAAACCTGATTGCCAAGCTACGCATGTTAGCAAACAAAAAAATAGATACCAAACATGTAAACTTGTTTTTTAAAGGAGAATCTGCTTTGTAATATGCTTTACTTTGAGCGAATGAACTTGAAAACAAGTCAAAAGTCAAACCACCAAAAGAACAAATTTGCCGAGATCAATTCTTTTAGGCTTTCACTGAAAAAAAAATGAGAAAACATCATCATGATTTATTTAAACTTTCTTGCTAAGTTTACTAGAACTTAAAAAAACACAGCCGAGAGACATTTCAAAAAGTGTCAATAAACTCACGGAAACTCAAAAAAATGACTGACTTATTTAAAATAATTTTCAAATTTCGAATAAGTAAAATAGAATTTCGAAAATCCTTTATGATGAGCATTTATTAGAAAAAACTTTTTATTAGCGTGGAACAATAGATACTGTGGTAATATGTTGCAATAGGTGGTAATTTTGAGAGTAGTGCATGTATTAAATATGAAACTAAAATGCATAAAATAGTCAATTCATTTTCAATCAATTATACTACTACAAAGATATTTTTTGTAAATACATTACTCTGTCAAATGAATTGCTATTCACAAATTCAAAATTTACACTTCATTTGCCAAAAAATTTGGCTTCCGAAACAAACTATAAATAATATGCGAAGTATAACAAAAAGCGATACAGCTATTCAAGTTGAACCTACCACCTATTGTAATATATCACCGATACTTTTTCCGTTCCGTTAGGAAATTTAAACAATGCCAACAAAAAAACATTTAAGTGTCAATAAACTTAAGGAAACCAAAAGATTGTTAGACTTTTCGTTATTTTTCAATTTTCGAAGAAAAAACTATGCTTGCAGTTCACATCATCCTTCAGATGAAAATAAAAATTCTATTTCATTGAGGCGATTCAAAATTCAGATAAGATGAACGAAAAAAACCATAAAATTGTCAAAAAACGCTACGTTGCATCCTTTATCAACATCGTTTTTATTCACTTCAAAATTACGAGATTCTGCAAAGGGATTTCAACCCTGAGGGACGCTTTGGAAAACTATTATATATTTTGCGTTTAAAACTCATATCAACTGGAAGGAAAAAATGATTGTTGTTCCGGCCATTGAAAATGGGGAGGAACTTTGTATTCGGATGAGTTTTTAGGTTTTTTCAACTTTGTTTTCCACGCAAAATCAGGCACCACAAACAATCACCGGATTGGGTCGAGTGATATATCATATAAAAGCCCTTTAAGTCGCGATTCGAACGACATTAAAAAAATTTGCAAGTTTCCCCGGTGTCGAGAAAAACTGGTTTCAAATTTATGATTTTTTGTCTAACTTCGAGCGAGTGAGCAGGCTTAAATTAGCTTACTTAAGCTTAATTGAAGCCTTGAAAATTTAGTTTTACTCAAGTAAAGTTAGTTTATAGAATTTCTAACGCCATCTTAGGAATGAAAAATTTTTCGGGATTTTTTTTCGTTTTTTTTTTAATAGTAATTCTAGATTTTTGTTCAGATCCTTTTTATCACACCACACATAAAAACGACACTAATTTGAAAAAAAAAAAACCGTTTTTCATATTTTTTAAGACTATGGGCGGAACATTCTGTGTTGCTTCCATAACAGCCGTTTCGCTTTGTTATTTATTTGTAGATAGCTCAAACCTCTGTGCTCAGATCTCAGATGGTAGGTAGCAGGTGAAAAACCTCACGCTTGAATTGATCTAGCCCTGTGGTTAGGCATACACAAATATTGAGCATAAAAATTCTCTCTAGTTCCAATGAGTGGGAATGTATAGGGAGTTGTTAACAAAACTCTTGAAATCTGACCAGAAGTCAAGAGAAAAGACTCAGCTATGTTACCTTGTCACACTTGATGACAGCCTTGTCACACCTGACGGACATGGACTGTTTGCCACAGTCGCACTGTTTGGTCGTCATGGCCACACAGGGGGGACAGGGTCCGGGGTGGCAGAGGAGGGTGCAAGGGTGCTCACACGTGTCACTGCCACTCTTTCCTTTCTTGCCACACATCTAAGAACACAGAATTACAATAACAAGTTAACTTATGAGCAAGGTATAATCTTACATTTGTATTCGAACTGACAAAGCTATTCGAACATACTTAAGGAAAAGCAATGGGTGAAAAAGGAAAACGAAAACCCATAAGAAGTATCGCAATGACTGAAGAAGCTAATTGTAGAACCTGAAAACTAAAGCCATGAATGAAGAACCGAAGGAAGATAAGCCATGAATGAAGAATCAAATTGAAGAACTCAAGAAAATGAAGCAATCAATGAAGAACCTAAGGTAGTAAAGCAATGAACAAAGAATCAAAAAATACATTTCAGAAGAATAAAAAAAAAATTCTTAGAAATGGAGCTTTAACATGTAACCACAATCAATCTTTGGAATAGGCGAGTCTTGGTGAAATATTATTTCTCTTTTACCAATTGTGATTGAATCATAATCCTAGAAGTAGCCACATACTTCATATGTTCGGAATAATTATCAACCTGGCTGACCATATTTCCTAAGCTTGAAAGAAATCGTATCACGTCTGACTATGATCAAATTCTAAAAACTACTCAATCGATATTGCAGTGCCCAATAATAACGAAGCTACAATTGATATCATCTAAGGGCGAAACAATTCGTTTCAGAACAATTTGCGATGAAAATAATTCCAAATTAATTGATTGTGCATTGCACAACAACTCAGAGGCCTATGACTTATAGAAATTTTCTAATGACACGAACTATTTCCAACCTCTCCGCATGTATGTGGCACATCTCCCGGAGTGAATCCGGGATCGGATAGTTTACCACAGAAACAGCGGTATTGCTTTGGCACCCCTGACGTCACCATGAACTGACATCCGGGACACCTCCAGCCAGCTCCAGAGGGAATCATGCTGTTCAGGTTGTCATTCTCTAGAGCGTTCGAGTTTGAGCTCCTAAAGTAAAATGGCTTAAATTAAAATTTATGCTGATGTTGGCTCTGCATTAGAAGCCAAATTGCAATCAACGAATGAGTCTTCATGTCGACTTTTTTTCGGAATAACGAGAGTTAAAATCCAAGTAAATTATGGAGCACACAAGGTTGCATAATATAAATTTAACTTTCTGTTTTCACATATTTGGTCACAAACTCATAATATTCGTCTCGGCGATCGCAAAAACTACAAATCTGATCAGAAAGACTAGCGAGGTAGGATAAAATATTGTCTCCTTAACACGTCTCAACTATGTCACATGACAACTTTTACAAAATGTTACCTCAAGTAAGTTCCTACATCCCCACTGGACGCGTTCCATAATTCACTCTCTGTATCCTGACCATAGATGACAGAATTCCTCGACCTCATATACTGGAGCAGAAATACGTCCGAGATCATCATGTTACGACGACCACGCGATGATGAGGATCCAGACGTCGAGGCATCGCCACCAGCCTCCCTCATGAGCTCTGGAGGTGGCTGCAGGTTCTCTGTTACTCCATTAGGACTGGTCAGCACTGTTCGACTCCATTCCTTAAAATTTGGAATCCGATGAGAAAATACCTTTCATGTTTTCATGAATTAGCGTAGAGAGAAGGATTTACATGCAGGGCTTTTCAGAGTGCCTAGGTAAAAAAACACTTTTTAATTATTCTTAAATTAAAAATAAAAGTGTTTTGAGCCTTAAGGTTGAAAAATAACAAAGTTGGCATGGCTTTTAATTAACCATAGGGTCACTTTGATAAGTTTTTCAAAACATAATAGAACGCTCTTCAAACCTGGATGCAATGGAGATGAAACACATGATAACAATTAGTGCATGACCAGATTGACTCCTTGACCTTGACAGAGTCACAGCATATCATGCACTCGTAACTCTCATTGCTCAGTTGCGCAGTCAGCTTTTCGGCCATGTCAGCATTCGACCCAAAGTCTCTATCTGCTGAGCTCATACTGGGTTGAAGTTTATTCATGTTTTCTCCACTGGAAGTAGCTTCATTTCGCTTAGGCTTGTTGTTCGATCTTCCTGACTCATCCTGATTAGTGTTGTTCTGGAAAAAAAAATGGAACCACGCGTCCAAAAATTAACGTATCGTAGTTATTGGAAACATTTAAGTGGAAACGACTTAAAAATCCATATATCACCCGATGACGTAAAAAACGACCTTCAAAAACAACCCAAAAAACTCTGATTTGATCCGCAACTAAGATTAATCGAGGACAAATTCAGCAATGGATACAAGTAAAATAGCTTACCTCGTTCTGAGGTTCCGCTACTCCGCTAGTGTAGAAATAGGTCTGCAACGGCTGTGCTTCATAGTTAGCCCCGTACCGACTACCAGACCTCGAATTAGGATACCCCTGCTGCCAGTGACGGACTTTTAAAAAGGTTTATTTTTCATACTTGAGGCTATAATTTATGTTACTTCAGTTTTTATCGATACAATAATTCCAAGGAGACATCACTCGAAAGGCTGAAAATCCTATTTGTACTTCTCCCAATTTGGCGCTACCTACATGGATACTCGTTTACGAGTGACTTGTGTCTAGGTACCAAATTGAAAAAAAGTTTATTATTCTCATTTTTCTGATCCATTTCGATTGTTTCATCACAACAGAAATGGTCATTCAAACTAATTACTAAAAATTAAACTAAATTTTAAAATTTGGAGACTTTTTCAAACTTGATTTAAATTTAAAAGCTCATCAATGCCTGCTGCATGTAATTATCGTTCACGGGGAACCTCTGCCGTCCTCCGTAGTAATTTCCGTAGTATTGCTGGTGCCTCGGGGGACGATTTTGATGGGAGGCGAAATATCGCTGAGGTGGTCGATAGTTTCCATCTCTCGGGTAATATCTTCCACGACCTCTTTCACCGTACATTTCAATTCACTGAAATCAAATACATACGTAAGGACTCTTTTGCTGCACAATAAGCAGAACGCTCCGGACACATATTTTGTAAATGTTAAAAGAATAACTAAAATTTACAAAAACTGTTTGTTTACTGTATTTACTACAAGCGTGTTGTTATTCATACACTAAAGAAAATTTTTGTTTCAGAAACTAAGCGCCGAGAAAATTGCTCCAACTTTTTAAATTTTTGTCGACAGCAGCGTTTTCATTTCAGTTTCTTTGCTTGAGTTATGGTCAAGCATAGCTCAATATGGTTTCATCCATTCGTTATTCTATACTGGGATTTCTTAATTTTCAGCTGTAGCCGTGCACATAGCACTGAATGTGCCGACTACGCTTATCTTCGATATGAAATTTAAAAATTGGAAAACCAAAAGAAATATTTTTTTTTCTGTTCAGTCCAAATTGTTGGAAAACTCAGACTTCTTAAAAATTCATTAAGAATCGAAATCACGGTTGAACGAGCTTCAATACGACACTTAGCATGATCTATGTAAGCTTTCGTTGAGAAAGTCACAATCGCCAAGAAAAAATCATCCTAAGACGTAGATACATCCAACTCTTTCCACTGTTGTCAGGAAAAAAGTTTATTGGAAAACTAAAAACTACTTAATGTTTTTTTTTACTTTGATACCTAACTCAACCTTCACCTGCGTGAAAAGTGGATAAATTAGGGAACATTAACAGTCTCTGACGATAAAACTGTGATGCAAGAAACCAGTATCAAAAAGATTACTATTAACAAAATTCTGATCAAAGAAACTAGTATAAAAAAGTGAATATCAACAACAATCGGCAAAAAAATGAGTATAAAAAAAAACACTATCATCAACACTCTATTGAAAGAAATAGCTATCAAAAAGATTAACTAACAAAATTGTGATAAAAGAAACGAGTATCAAAAAGATTACTATCAACAACATTCTGATGCAATGAACGAATATCAAAAAAATTAGTATCAACAAGACGCTTATGATAGAAAGGAGTATCTAAAAGATTACTATCTACAACATACATATGACAAAAACGAGTTTCAAAAAGATAACTGTCAACAGCACTCTGATGATAGAAATGATTATCAAAAAGAATACTATCAAAAACACTCTGTTGACAGAAACGAGTATCAAAAAGAAAACTATGCACACAACGCTGATTATATTCTTAAAAATCTTAAAAATTCATTAAGAATCGAAATCACGGTTGAACGAGCTTCAATACGACACTTAGCATGATCTATGTAAGCTTTCGTTGAAAAAGTCACAATCGCCAAGAAAAAATCATCCTAAGACGTAGATACATCCAACTCTTTCCACTGTTGTCAGGAAAAAAGTTTATTGGAAAACTAAAAACTACTTAATGTTTTTTTTTTACTTTGATACCTAACTCAACCTTCACCTGCGTGAAAAGTGGATAAATTAGGGAACATTAACAGTCTCTGACAATAAAACTGTGATGCAAGAAACCAGTATCAAAAAGATTACTATTAACAAAATTCTGATCAAAGAAACTAGTATAAAAAAGTGAATATCAACAACAATCGGCAAAAAAATGAGTATAAAAAAAACACTATCATCAACACTCTATTGAAAGAAATAGCTATCAAAAAGATTAACTAACAAAATTGTGATAAAAGAAACGAGTATCAACAAGACGCTTATGATAGAAAGGAGTATCTAAAAGATTACTATCTACAACACACATATGACAAAAACGAGTTTCAAAAAGATAACTGTCAACAGCACTCTGATGATAGAAATGATTATCAAAAAGAATACTATCAAAAACACTCTGTTGACAGAAACGAGTATCAAAAAGAAAACTATGCACACAACGCTGATTATAGATTGAGTACCAGAAAAGATAGAATCAACAACATGTTGAGTGGGAAACTCAGTATCAAAGTCTTTTTAATCGAAAAAAAAGATCGAGAAACTTAAAAATTATCAGACTGAACACATATCTCATATTCGTTGCGAAAACAGGAAAAATTCATTTCCAGTTAAACAAAAAACCAAAATAAACAAACAGTCTGAATCAGTCGAAGAATTTTTGGTCAATTTTTCCATTCAAAAATTGCAGATGGTCCCATTTTCATCTGTATTTCTTGCGAAAGAACTTTATACTGCTGCAGTGTGAGTCGTTTTTATAAAGAAAATTACGATTCGGGCATCTCTACATTTGTTGGACTTTCATTGACTGACAACATATGTAATGCATTCCATCGGCAGTTATCTCAGAAAAGTGTTCTTCCCCCCTTAGCGTGTAGAACGGGCTATTGACAGAAGATTTCCCAAATAACATTGTTACAGCCTCTAGAGTCGCACCTGCTAGCCAAAAAAAAACTATTTGTAAAAATGTTTCGTATGCCTTCTGGTCAACAGAGAAAAATCTCTGTAGCCGTTCTGAAAATCCCAATATCTTTGAGGATAATAAGCGATGCGTTACCATTGCTTTTAAACCAAGAGATTGTTTACCTGTAGTACAAACGTAAGCTCAAATATAATTCAGTTGTTCAACAAGAGGTGATAAGACCTGCCATTGCGATCGAAGCACTTGAAGCCATGCAATTAGTCAATAAACTCTATTAACACGCGAAAATTAGTTTTTTTTGCCCAAATTTTACAAAACAAAAAAACTTTGCCAAATAACTGTAGCAGCTATGATAGCGATGAAAATTCAAATACAACAGTTTCAACTCAAATTTCCCATTATCTTGCAAAAACCGCAATTTGGCATGAATGCAAGAGGATGAGCAGACAAAACAAGATCCCCCTATGGTTGAAAATACTCCCAGTGAATCACAAACTCCATTAAATGTGCTACGAGATACTGACTGTAAGTATTGTCTCATATGGTATCATTTTTCAGCGTGAACGTCCCTTGACAGTAATACCATATTTCGACGCAAATTTATTGCAAAAATCTGGAAAATTTTGTTCAAGTCTGATTATGCTTTATGCGCAGTACATATGTGAACTGGCAAAAAAACAATCTTCAATTGCGATAAGCCTTTCAAAGTTCAAAGGAAAAGTGAGGGCTTCAGATAAACATGAAACACCGATATAGAGGATTTTTTCAGACTACTCTTATGATGCTGTCAAAAGTCCTCGGAGCTCCTTTTTGTTGAAAGGTTTTCATGTGCGAACTTTTATCAATGGTTAGACAGCTAGGGGCGCCTGATTTCTGGCACACTGTTACTGAATGGCCTGATTTGTTTTCAGTTCTATCCCGAGTATATGATAATCTCCCTGATGAGTATTCCGATCTAAGTTATATTGACAAATGTGAACTACTAAACCGTAACCCTTCATTAGTAGCACGTCACTTTCAGCATCGCCTTGAATCGCATCTAAAACATGCTCTCAAGTCGAAGCTTCATCCGCTTGGATCGCCAATACTAAATTATGCCGTCAAAATAAATTCAACTTAGAGTCATCTCCGCATGCTCATATGATGTTATGGACAATTTCCCTAATTCGACAACTAAAACAATCTCCTCTGTCTCTGTATGACGAAATTGCAAAAGTAACCATTCCGCAAGACGATGAAAAACTAGCTGCTTTAGTTGTTATATATCAAACTCATCGCCATTCACATACCTGCACCAAATCATCCGGAGCAATTCATTGCAAATTTGGTTTCCCCCAACTTCCGGCCGACCGCAACATTTTGTCATCACTATTGAACCCTGCCATGGATGAAAATGGAAAAAGAAGAAGTTTGCAAAAACGTTCAAAAATTTTGAAAACAGTTAAGTTGACATTGGAACAAACTGATCAGCTTAACCTCAACGAGTTTACTCTTGAGAGTGTCCTCAATCAGGCTAAAGTTTCATCAACGGAATACCATCATATGCTTGGATTATGAGAAGACTCTGCCATAAAAAATCATTTCAAACGAAACATGAACAAAATATATATTTAAAACTACAACCCTCTTCTGCACAGGTGCTTCAGAGCTAACATTGATATAACGCCGGTCAAGGATGCTTATTTCTGTAGAAAGTACTTGGTAAAGTATTTTTCGCAAGGTGAAACTGCACTTTGAAAGGCTTTGAGTTAAGTTCCAAAACAACAAGATTATCTCGATGCCAACTTTACCTCATCGATGCAAAAAGTAGGCAATGCAATTCTAACTGCCAGGGAAGTTTCTGCACAAGAATTTTTAAAGAGAAAACTTCACAGCAAAGGAAACTAATCAGCTTATTATGATGCATCAGCATCTGACTCTTTTGAATGCGATCATCAACTCCAAAACATTGAAGACGACTCTGAAGGGAGCAATCATAAAATGCCAAAGCGATTTACAACTAAGATTCGTAATGCAAACTTTATTTTACGGCGTGCTTCTCCGAAATCAGGTTCCCAAGGCGAGATAGTTCACACACAGAAAAAATTTACCAGTCACTGCTTTTTTTATATTTAACACGACAAAGCGGAAATGAACTACTTGCAGCTGAGGATTCCTACACTTCAAAGCTTTTCGGCAGATATTTCATGTATTGTGGAAAAAAAACGATTAATTTTCGAAAAAGCTGCTGAAAGTGTCGCCAAAGCATTAGATGAATATCAGCATTCATTAGACGACCTACCCGATATCACATGGGAGCCGAATTAGTCTGAAGAAGAAAACGTGGTAGAAGATTTTGGTTTGGTAAATGTATTTAATGAATAAAATCATGGTTTTCCTGAGACGATCTACCGCCAAGAAGAGAATTAAACAAAATGACCTTTCTTCTGCCAAATTTTTCAATATCTAAACTTCAAACAACAATTTTTTCAATTTCTATTTGAATTTTTTAGTTCAAGCGGGCAAGGATTATCAGAAACCGTTCCGTTGTTGTTTTTAGATGGTGAGCGGGTGTTGGTAAATCTCAGCTGATCAAAACTATCACCCGTGCCACTCAAACAATCAAGAACAAGGCAGGAGATGATTTTTAAAACCACGTGTAGCATTAGCTGCACTCACCGGAATTGCAGCCAGAAACACTTCTGGATTATTTATTGATTCAGCTGTTTCAATGCCTCGAAACCTCTTACCTAAACAAACCAGCATAGTTGAGAAAGAAATGATCTGAAGTTGTTACTATCATTGTCGATAAAGTAAGCACGTTGTCGCCAGGAAGACTAGTTGATTTACATCAAAGGATGCGAAATAAAAGGGTATAATTATCACCGCCACGGAAGCCCATTATTTGGAAATTGCTCTATTATTTAAGGTGGGGACCTGTATCAACTGACACCAGTTATGGTGAATCCTATTTATTTAAAACCAAAAACGAACAAATGCAAATTACTTATCTGTGGAGCCTATTCAATATATTTGCACTAACTGAGATAGTGGGCCAAGACAACAGCAGCTGGTTTGCAGAGCTTTTACCTCGGATAAGAATCGTGACCACACTACGGAAAATATTGAAAAATTGAAGCAGGCACAAGTTAAACTCAAAAGAGATGATCCTAGATGTCCTAGAAATTCGCTTCATCTTTTCACTGAACATGTTTATGCAGACAAATATAACCAGTACATGCTCTCTCGACTTCAAAGTTTCGCATACAAAAGCACACCTCGCTTGAAGTTAACAAACAACGCGTCAACATCTCTGAAAATTGGAGTAAAATCTTTAAAAAATATTTCCGATTTTCTAAAGAATCATTTCATTCTCAAAGTGGGAGCTCGTGTAATGTTCAATAAAATGTTCAATAAAAACGTATGGTCAAGCGTATGTTGCTCTCAGTCGCGTATGTTGTTTATGCAGATAAATATAACCAGTACATGATCTCTCTACTTCAAAGTGGGGCATACAAAAGCACACCATGCTTAAAACACCTCGCCTAACAAACAAGGCGGCAACGACTGTAAAAATCGGAGTAAAGTCTAAAAAATGTATATTTTCGATTTTCTAAAGAAATATTTCATTCTCAAAGTGGGAGCTCGTGTAATGTTCAATAGAAACGTTGATGTTTCAGACGGTTCAGCAAATGATTGTCTTGGAACAGTTTGAAAGATTGAACTCCATCAAAACTCTGATATCAAACATGTAAATGTTGAGTTTGATGACAAAACAATCGGTAATAACTTTGTGGCAAAAACCAGTGACACTTTTTCGAAACGAAAAGGATGTGTACCAATGTCCACAGTATCAAACAGTTTTCAACAAAATGCACCTTATGAGATAAATCAACTGCTTCTTATGCTTTCTTGGGCTGTCAGTATTCAAAAGTCTTACCAATAATTCATTCGTTATTGATTTCTGCACAAGCTCCAACAAATCACTCAAATATGGTCAAGCATACGTTGCTCTCAATTGCGTCACTTCGTTTGAAGGTTTGCAACTATTAAATTTTAATCCCAAGCATTTGCGCGCTGAATCACAAATTGTAAAAGAGCTACATAACTGTTCCAGACTTCAACCTGAAATCCAAGATATTTCTTTTAAACTCAAAAGACCAGAAGACTCAATCTTTCGAATTACATCCTTCAAAATCAGAGGTGCTTTTTCATCATTAACAGCTATTTCGTTCGATTCTAGATTGACTTCAAGTGACATCATAGCCCTACAAGAACACGCATTAATCCTCAGCCAATGAATCAGCTATCCACCTGAAATTTCAAATTTTAACTGCATGTGATAAAAATAAATTTAAATCCAGGCTGTTTCAAGTCCAGCCGGGTATTCAAGTCATCTTGAAATCCCATGATATTATCTGACAATTGGGTACATTTGCTACAAAGTCCTATCGGTTTAAAATAATAAATATTTCCCACTTACAAAGATTCCAGCCACATGTTGTAGTCGGAGACTTCAGCATGCCTAAAACCAGCAGTAGGTTTCTTCATTTTATCGAAGAGCTGAAAAATAGCAGTTACAAGCTGCCGAATTCACAACCAACTCATAGATTAGGGAACTGTATAGATTACTGCTTTATTCGAAGTGACACAACTTTTATTTACTGATTTTCGCTTTACTACACAGATTACGACTGCTTCATGATAGATATTTCCTTCTGATTTTTCAATTGACTTATTGCATAACTCTTTTTTATCAATAATGAAATTAATTTCTAAGCAATTTACATTCTCTGCCTTTTTTGCTGTTTTATATGTTTTTTATATACAACCAAAAGAATACAAGTAGGAACACCATTTTATAAAAATGTGTCAAAAAACTTCAAAAAATTAGGAACAATATCTTGAAGTGAGGTTGCTTTTGTATTACTTGGTTTCATAATTCTTTGCGAAAAGAAAACAGTATTCATTTAGAGCCGTTATTTATGTTTTCTATCTTCTTAACGTTCTCCCCGCCACGCTAATTTGACCTAATTTTCACCGAAAAGATAAACTTTTGAGAACCTGATCGGAACATTCTCTGCTACATACACAGCAACCGGCAATTCTTTTTCTAAATGGCATAGAAGGAATACCACACCAAAATCCAAACACGGCACCGAAAGGTACGGGATTCTAAAAACCGCTTTCAAAGAGCAAGCAAGTAAATTAGATTAAAGTCAAAAACGAAAAAAACCGAAGATCAAGATAGAAGTTGATTTAGCTTTCAAAAGCCTAGCAACATGAGTGTTAAACCAGGCAGCTAGTCTCGACCATGTGATGACATTTCTGCATGTTTTGACCTTTAATAGGTTAAATGTTTTCAGTAGCAGGTAGAAGTAGTCCTCAAGGAAGAACTTCTGCAATTTTTCGTACCATCAATGAGCTATCTGAACTACTATCAGAGTTCTAAAATTCTATTTCTGGAAAGGTTTGGTTCCCTAATGAATTACAAGGATACCAGAGTCGCTGAGATACAAGAGCTTTGTCGTGAAGCCAAGAAAAGCCTTAAGATGATTGACCTTCAAAAAGAGTAACAAAACAGCACTGACTGTCATCTTGAAAAATCAATTAGCCTTTGATTGAAAGTAGCAAGCCAAACGATCTTGTTTTATGGCTAATGAGAAAAAAGGTAAAAAGTTCATATGACTCAACACGTTCAATTCCTAGATTCAATTCCTTGTTGCTTTTCAAAGTTACAAAAAAAAGATTATTGATCAGGTAGCTCAAAAAGTTTTAATTTTTTTAGGTTTAAATGATTTTAAAATGACCAGTTACGGGTTTCGACCATTTTATACCCAGTTTCCTTTTACAATGTGCTGATCCTATTTTAGGAGCAGTTCAACAAGCATAAACTTCAGCTGTCTTGTTTAATTTAACGGGTTCAGTTACTGTTGTTCAATTATATCATATCGAGAATGGAGATCATTGCCTTCATTCTTTTATCGGCGGTTCGAATCGCGGCTAGGAAACTTTTTCTTTCGCAACTTTCAACGTCAAAACTTTGAAGTCACGTGTGGGGGGTTGTTTAACATGGCGCCCATACTAATTGAAAACAACTTGCAAGTTTTGAAAACTAAATCAACCAAAGCTGGCACCTTCAGACGCATGCACGCAATATACTGTACTTGGATCTGCAATTTCAAAGACAAAGGCAAAATGTGCTTGCTTGAACCTGTAGATATCTCAGTAGAAAACAGCAAACCCGTCTCAACTGTAAAAAAAAAAAAGATGGACTATCGAATTAAAAATGGGGTAGTAAAACTACAACAATTAAAAAGATTAACAACATGATTACCTTAAAAACTGCTAAGTTATTAAAACGGTAATTGAAATAGGAATCACTTTTACAGCACCAGTATAGGTTTTAAAGCACCTATGAATGATATTTGCAAAGTGTAAGGGAAAGTTAACAAAAAGAGAAATAGAGAAATTTAAAAAATGCCTCACAGCTGAAGCGTCACAACAACAAAAAACATTAGCTTTTAGAAAGAACTAAATCACAAGGAACAAAACAAAGCGTTCATTGTAAAGGGAAATCATCTAGAAACTCTTAATTAAGGTCATCTTCATCTTCCAAATATGCTTTTTGTCTTCAACTAGAGGATATTGCAGGCATTCACACTTGCTACAGGCGTGTCCACTTGAATACCGTCAGTGCCTATTTTACCCCCCAATCCTAGACAGTGTAGCTCCGCGTTACCAAACCTCACACCAATGCCAGTGTCGAAATTCAAACCCACCCTCGCTCCCACTGCGTTTCCGAGTGACACTTCGTTTTCTATGATTGTTATGTCCTTGAACCACCCGAAGCAGCGCTCGCGAGAAACAATCTGCGATTGGAATTCTAGGACTTTGCTGTGTATAGACAGAGGCCCAAAAGAGTACCTGAATTTATACGCACAATAGTTTCGAATGCTACTCAAGCCATCGGTGACTGTGAAATACTCCCACAAGCTATTTGAATGCTCAATTTCTCCCGCATCTAGCCTGTAGGGCATTACGTACTTGTCATCAGTGCACCAAACTAAAAGATCAAACACAAATTTCTGACAGTTGTCGCTCAACATATCGTAATTGTTGTTCTCTAGTAGCCAATTTGAGATCCACGAATCAATTTCTGCATCTGTTTTGACAGAGTATCCGGCAATTGAGCCACCGTAGACTCCTGCTCCGCTCTTTGCAAGGTCTCCGCGGCTCCTGATGATTTCATTCTTGCAATGAGCATCACTCAGAGACGCTCCTTTGATTTCATACCTATAAAGAGCACCAGAGTTTGGAGACCAGGGGCGCATATCATCAGGAATTCGACTTCTGGCGCGGTGGTACAATTTCATTACATCCATTCCTTTATTTTCAAAAGTTCGTCGATTACACAAAATTTTTAGGACAAATTATTTCTTTATGAAACTTGGTGGACATAAAAAAAGGTTGACAAATTATTCGCACTTGTATTTCAAGTTCCCTCTGCCCTAGAGAAAGTTCTAAGAGAAAACTATCAGAAAAATTTTGAATTAGAAAAATAGAAAAGTTTACCAGATGTTTCCAATCTTGATTGCCCAGTGCTTGGCGATGAAGAGGAAGAGGAGTTTTCTGCCGACGATGACGATCCGCTCTCCTGGTCCATAGACTTTGGCGACGTTTGAGTCAACTGCAGACATTATACAAAAACAACACTGAAAGATTTAGTTGATAACTTTAAACAGTAGCGGATTTAGTACCTTTGGTACCATTTTGAAACAGTGGCTTTGATATTATTTTAAGCTCTCCATTTTTGGCTTGCTGACCCTCTAAAGGCGCTAATATATACTATTTTTGAGGGGGAGCGAATTTAGTATGGTATTTTTTGGTTGAAACTGTCCAAAAAAAGTCAACTAGGCCTTTTAAGCCTGTTTTTTAAAATTTTGCCTGCGGCGCAACAAATTTGGCCGAACCATGGTCTTTTGAGTGATTTTAGAGAGCTCGGAAAATCAATTTGGTCGACCTAAAAAAAGGTCAACATTTTTGAGAATTTTTTGAAAATCCCCCCTCGAGAAGAGAAAATCCTAGATACGCCCCTGCCTTAAATTAAGTTCAAATATGTCGGAAAAATTCAAAGCTGAGACGAAAGACATATTCTTTCAGACAATAGCGGTATAAAAACATCAGAAGAAATACCTCGAAACTTTCAAGTGCCCAGCTTGTCATCTGATACAAACGAAACAATTGTTTCTTCAAATAAAACAGCAAATGAAGGCTAGCAAATTAGACGACTCCAATAAAATGGAATTTAAACGTTAAATTGTTTTTTGCAAAACTAGCACTTTGGACAAAAAGCAAAAGGCTAACAATACTTATTGCTTGAAACAAATGTTCAAAATTACAAAAAGAGCATATAATCCCTTTGCTTATCAAAATACTTATCATAAATGATTTATAAAACGCTAATCCGCAGATTATGATACGTTTTTGAAAAGCATAAATTATACAATTGTGAAATGTGAAAAAATGATTCGCTTTTAAGAAAGCTCCAACGAAAGTACATGGTAGTCAGCGAAAGATAATTGTATTCATTAAACAAATTCCACGCACGTTAAAAATATAATTACGTCTAATTTTCCATATTTGTAGTCGATGCATCGACGTCTAAAATCAGTGTTCTTGGTCACGTCGAATTTGTTTTTCGTCTAATTTCCTAGGCCTTCTCAAATTTAGCTGACAGTGAACAAAAACTGATCAAACAGAATTGCTTTGAATTCTGCCATAATTAGTAGGATGCGATTTATTATGGATCAGTTTAGCTGCTAGTCAATCAACAATTACGCTAAAATAGCAAAAAAAACTATTAAACTTTTGGGTACCGTACGAAAATTTATTATTAAGCACAGAGGCGATTCGGAGCCTGTCATCACTTGCGATACAACGCAAGCGCAGCATTGCAAGCTAGCAAAAAGTAATTAAATCAAAATACAATCGAAAAATAAAAAATGTGGGGAAAAATGTGACGACCATTGAGACGAAAACAAAAAATGCCATCAGAAATTGTTGTCATTAAAATTTTCTAACAGATAAATTTTAAAACTTTGAAATCTTGCAACACAAACTACTTTTATTTCTCAAACACAATCACTCAATTTTTGCTCCTCACGAGAAACAACCCCATTTAGTCCGAACAAAGTGTTCTAGCGAGGAAAAAAACGAAAAGGAAAATCAAGAAAAACATAACGTCAGGGCCTTTAATTTTAAGAATTACAAGAATAAATCTGAAATCAAAAATACTCGCATCTACGATGAAAACTGCTGATATAGCAATTAAGTGGACTCTAAAAACCAGACCTTATAGGGAAAAAGCAACCGCGTTACCTCTAGGCGAAAAGGGAAGCAGTCTCGGGGTTCACTAAAACATAAACTCCACATTTTCTGAAAAATGTGCAAGAAAAGTTGTTTACGACTTGTTTACTCGCAAGTGTAATTATATTCAATTATTGATTTTGGGCCCGAACTTCCAGAGAAAACTTGCCCCAAACTTGCTTTTGATAATTTTTATCTAAATTTATGATGCCAAACTTTTCCCTTGACTCAATCCAATTTGAAAAAAAAAACCGCGTTTAAAGTGTGGAATTTGGTTTAATTCGTCCGAAATTGGTTAGGATAGTCTGCATTAAAAATATCAGCATCGATTGTAATTTATTAAGTGTATTAGTTTAGTTTATATTAGTTTATTACATTTCGAGTTATTACCTGCAAATTTTGTGTTTTTGTACATTTTAAAGCTCTCAAATTTTTTAAATCTTTCTTGCCTGTGTAAATTGCATTATTCTGAAGTAGTTTTCAAGTTACTGCGGAAACTCGCTTTGTGGACAACTATACCTCTTCGAAATTTAACAACTATGCCTTCTAGATCTTTCACCTTACAAAACCAAGACTACAACTGAACTTAACACTTTTTTATCCATAGATAAAAAAAATTGGAGTATTAATGGATCTTTCAACTTTTTGGCCATGGGAAGATCCAGTAATACCCCATTTTTTTATAATCCAGGGACGTTTGATCCCAACAGGCTAATAGTTTCATCTGACCAAAACTGCGACGTTTCTGTGACTAAGTTTGAGCATGCTGGACGCGACATCTTTGGGCTAAGAACAACCAGAATAAAAACAACAACTAGGCTTTTCTATGTAGCAAAATCAATTGAATTATTTCTTTTTAATCTGCACACTAGTTTTTCAGGGAAAGACCGTCAAGTTTCTGTAATTTTGAGGAAATTGAAATACTAAAAATTCATGACCGTATTCTTGTTTCCATGACACTACAAAAATGAGCGACTTAAATAGAAAAGAACGAACTCATAATTCAATAAAAACATTTGCTTGTTTAAAAGGTTAAAGAAAAAAGGGCAAATTAAAGCAAAAATCCTAATCGGTCAGAATGTCACTTACTTGTAAAAACTTATGCACATAATGCAACAGGGTCGACAAAACAAAGCATCAATCGAGACACTTGGCAAAATTAGTGAAATCAGAAACTCATAATTCAGAATTTAATAGAGTTAAAACTGATACCAATTTCGAACTGACTCTGAAAAAGCAAAACCAAGCAATTAGAAAAACAAGAACACTAAGAAAATCATAGTATTTCAATATTCTCAAAAGTCACGGAAAATTCACGGTCTTTCTTCCAAAAACCATAAAGGCAGATAAACAGTATGATTTGATTGATTTTGCTACACAGAAAAACCTAGTTATTGTTATTCTGGCTGTTTTAAGCCCAAAAGGGTCGCGTCCAGAATGCTCAGAATGCGTCACATAAACGTCGCTATTTAGGTCAGATAAAACTGCAAGCCAGTTGGGATTAAAATGCTGGTACTCTGGGAACAGCTGATAAAGTAAAAGGTCCAGAAGTTTCTCATTTTACTAAAAACCAAGGATAAACAAGTTTTAAGTTCAGTTGTATCCTTGATTTGATAAGATGGTAAAAACCGTACTAATTCGAAGAGGTATTATTGTCCGCAAAGCTACTTTCCGCAGTATGTTTAAAACTACTTCAGAATAATTCGATTAACACAGAGGCGAAGCTGCAGCTCCACAAACAAGCGAGAAAGCGGCAAATGATTCGGTAACTTTAAAATGCACAAAAACACAAATTTCACAGGTAATAATTTGGAATGTAATAAACTAAAAGCAACCAAATTAACTCTGCGGGCAACAAATTAGAAAGAGAAAGACAAATTTGTATAAATTATGATTTTCAAAAAAAACTGCGAAGTAGACTAAGTTAGAAAATTTTTGAAACGGATTTGTTATTATTGGACTATTGTATGAAACAAAAAGCTTTTTTTTTCGCTTCAATGGATGAATTTAAAAAGTATCAAATGTGGTAACTCATTATGAATCAAATACTAACGCACACAACATGGTATAATAGTGCCAATGCAACCTCCTGATTCAATATTGCCACCAAATATAGCTTTTATATTTGCGACTTAGGTTGGAAAAAATCTGCATCGCATTATCACACTACGCTGCGCTTCGTGTAAGCAAATAACATCAATCAAATGGCTATGCTGTAGGGTTTTCCGCTATGAAAATTTCATGAAAGTATCAAAATAGCGAACCTGGTTAAACGGGTTTGCTAACAAATAAACGCTTTCGACTAATTATCTTTCATGTGCGACGAAGTTTCGTACTGAATAATAAAAAAAAATTCGATTTTACTTGCTTCGCTTCTCATAAAATTTTATAAAAAAAATCATAACAAAGATGATGAAAACTGGTTCAAACAAGAATCAAATTCAATATACAATGCAAATCAGGACCTAAGACAACTAATGAAGTTGAATAGTTTAGCTCTCCTCCAAAATATTTTTCTTCTTCATTGAAGTTCTCTCAACGGTGCCAGGTGCAGAATGAAGCATTCTGTTTTCTTCTTTCTTCTTATGAGAAGCATTGATCATTCTGAACTGATTCGCGTGGAACTTTACATACTTCGGAACGTGTCTGTGCCTCGAGATTCTTCTAATCTGCGGGTGATGTTGAAACTTCTGACGTAACTTCTCTTGATACTCGGTGCTGCTCCTCTGTTTGTGACGTAATATTGCGAGCCTTTCTGAAGCTCTGGCTTTCCACAATCTCAAATTCATTTCATCTGATCCTGATATTATGTATCTGTCATCTAAAGACCATTGCACACAATGTAACCTTTGCATTCTACGTGTATGATAAACTTCTCTACTTGAACTTTTTTCTTTATCATAAATTCTGATGATTTTGTCGAAGCCAGCAGATACAAATTCTTGTCCAGTAGGACTATAATCAACATCCATGACTGCTAAAACATGATCTCTGTGTACAAAAAGAGCACTGTCCATTTTTCTGAGATCAAACGTATAAAGATTGTAGTCTTCGTTTGCGACCGTGAAAATGTACGCTTCCATTGGATTCCAGGAGAGTGAATTGCAACTCATCCTCATCTTCATCTTCTTAATCGGATGATTCTTTCTGATATCATAGAGTAAAATATTATGGTCCCAATCTAGAGATGCGAGCAGGTTCGTTTCTGTGCTGTTGAACTTGACATGATGCTGCTGTGAGACTTCCCACTTAAACGTGTTCATCGGCTGGGCCCTGTTGACATCCCAGATCTCGACTAAGTGTCCAGATGCTGCTGCGAAGTAGCCCGCGTTGACCTATCGCAAAACACTTCAAGTATTTCACAATTTAATTGCATTTTTTATCATTTTAAACAGGTCCTAGAAAAGACGATGTTACGAACCGGTCCGTTTATAAATCGTTCAGACTCCCAGTATCACATTAACCATCATTCTGCCGTTACAGCAGATTATTACTTCGAATTTAAATTAATTTCAAATTGGAGGAAATGTCGAGGGAAGAAAAGTTTAGCTGGTAAAAAAAAACAGACATTCATTCATCATCGGAACATTCGGAGAATATTACAGCTTCAACACTCGCCTTAGTCTGCTGATGATGGACAGACGTGATTGGCATCTTGGTGGTGGCCATGAACAGTGGCTGTTCCCCTTCGTCCGCCCGTAGGTTCACCTCATTGGGGGTCTTGCCACTACAGTCCATGTCTGCATTGTACAGTTTCCAGTGTTTCAAAGTGCCGTCAGCTCCTGCTGTGGTCACTATCTGTCCATTCAGAGAACAACTCATCCCATTCACCATCCCATTGTGCGCCTGAATTAAGCAATCATCACCAGAGTATTGACATCAATTTTTAAAAACGGTTTTTACTTTCGCCGCTTTTTAAGAATCATTATTTCGTTTCCACATATTTTGCTTTCTTATAAGAAAAGGAAACGATTTTTTTTTTCATTTGTGAGCAATTTTTTTTGGGATTGCAAGCAATATCAAGAATACACGGGTGGGTACCGAAATGTTTTCTGTCTAGGATGGTGTATAAGTTTCAGGAAGGTGTTCTTTAGCATGTTTTTTCTTTCTGTGAGGCCAAAGCAGCCACTAGTTATCAGCACCAATGTGTTCACGTCACTAGATCCAATAGTAGCAATAGATTTGTTGCCCACTTCTTGTTGACCTGTTCACCGGATACACGTACCTGTATCATCCTTAATTTCTGCCTAGTTGCCAGATTCCAGAAAATGATCTCTCCGTCCCCTGACCCTGAAATGATTGTTGTCAAGGACGAGGGATGTTTGCACATTCTGTACACCCCATCACAGTGACCCGACAAGTTAGTTATAAATGGCTTCGCAAAAATCCGATCCAGTTTTGTCGCGTTCAGAGCACGAATGTATTCTCTCTCGGTTTGAAACGGATGTTCCGACGGGTTGTAGTTGCGGGGAATTTTGTGAACGTCGAACTTTGTTTCCCGCATGTAGTCGTCGGGGTTCCGAGATATCATTTTAATCTTCATTTTGATCTCTGAAAGACTACTTCTGAATAAAACTCGGATGTTATAAAAGATTTTCATGAGATATTCAAGTAATTATTAGAAATCAAGCTAACAAATATCTCAAACAATTTTGTCAAATTAGTTTTTTTCATGAAAACCAAATCTTCATTTCAATTTGATAATGCTTGCTTACCTAAAGTGTAATTAACTATCCATGCAATGAATATGATTTTTACGAGTGGCAAAATTTCCTAAGATAAAAAATCTGTCCGAAATACTTTGAGCCACAGCCCATTGCTTGAAAACCTGCGTTGAAAATCAATGCACTTATTGCGCACTTTTAGAAATCTGAGGCGCGCACTTTCATTTCAAAAAAATAAAGATTGTGCCAACGGCACATTTTGGTAGGCTATAAAAAGAACTTAAGTAGAGAACTTAGTGAAGTACATAAGTCTATATCTTTAAAGACAACCCCTCTCCCCAAAATCGCGAAGCTTGATCTTTACTTTCATTCTTTCATTATAAGCCATCTGAGAAAAATGCTGACAAGTATTCTTGATCAAAATCTAAGTCATGGACATAGTAGACCGTTTTGTAACACTTCTGATATATGGTGATTAAGACTTTCATGAAATCCATGCAGAAAGTTTTTATTCACTTCAGAAATTATACAGAAATTCGAAACACTGACATTTTAACATTACAAAATATTTTGAGGAGAAGAACCAGAGACTTGAATTTAATACGCTGACAAACTGGAAGCCAATGAAGTTCATGCAGCAGAATAGTCGGTAAGTTCTGCCGATTTGCCTGAAACACAAATCTGACGCATTTTGATTCTTTTGTAGTTTCTGGATCAATTCTTTCATTTTAAGCAATCTGAGAAAAAAGCTGATAAGTATTCTTAATCAAAATCTAAGTCATGGACATTGTAGACCGTTTTGTAACATTTCTATTCTTTTTATATTCCTGATCTATATGCAGACTGACTATTATCCATGAGACCCAAACTAGTTCCATGTTCTACTAGGTGCGCGCGTATAAGTTTTCAAATTATTTAGAAAGAAATACAAGGTTAGATACTGATCGGTACAATGAAAGAAGTTCAGGATCTGAATATTTCTTTTATTCTAGAGTCGGAATCATAACTGCTTCTTTAAGATCAACTGGAAAACTCCAATTTCAATTAACGTTAAAAAAAACTCAAAAAATTTGATATTCCTGAAAATTCCACATATTTTCGAAGATAACAGTTCAAATTAAATCATGATGAGCTATCGCATTTCACATTGATAAAACAGCCTGATAAAAATCTTTAAGTTTAATTTGGCTGAAACTAAATTCATATTTAGGCTGAGTTCAAATTAATTCAAAACTAGGGTTTCGGTACATATCAAAAATTTGTTAGTTAAACAACCATTAAAATCCTTGGAAATATAACTGCTTCAGTTTAGTTTCCGATTAGTTTATCAATAGCTTTATCTTTCTTTGAGTCTTTTTGAATGACTTTTTCTGAAGGAATTCTCTTTTCTTATCTACAAAGCAATTTCTCATTTTTCGATAAATTCTCTCCAACTAACGACGTTTCCGTTTCATTTCAATAAGGTCCGAATCAAAAGAATCACAGCTCCGAAAACACTTATTGCGCTTTATAAGAGGCGCAAGGAAATCCGTTATCGATTCGACAGTGAATGATTCGATGACGCGATAAAATCTGTGTCGACAATTATCGTGAATGAACTGGTCTCAATTTTTTTGCGGTCTCAACTTGCTCAAATATTGTAGATTATTTAACGCTGAGAAAAATTTTGTTTCAAGGCTAATTCATTTGTTAATTGGCTTCTGAATAATGTTTCTCATTCACTTAATTAGCTTGTTTCTCACGAAAATTCAAGACGAAAAACGCATGAAAGTTATAGTAGTGTTTTTTTATCGATTTTTGTCTCATTTTCTGTCTGTGGGCTCGCCATAAAACGTAGCATGGCGAGCCCACAGACAAAAAATGAGACAAAAATCGATTTTAAAAAACACTACCATAACTTTAATCTGTTTGTCGTCTTGATTTGCATAAGTTGATTTTGAGAAAATGAAGCCAATTAAGACAACTACTAGAATTGAAATAGCCCAGCTATCTCAGCGTTACGTAAGCTACCATATTTGAGTAGACACAAGATTACCGAAACAATTGAGACCAGTTCGCTCACGATAATTTTCAACAGATGCGAAGCGGAGCTTCGTACAACTTGCGATACATCACAAACATTAAAAAAAAACTTAGATGTTAAAAAACTAGGTAAACGAAAATTTTCCTGTCTCGATAAAAAACCAACTAGGGCCCAGCTACAGCTAGGGGTACGTGTTTGATATTGAATGAATTTGCTCTACTGATGCGGCACAAAAAAGTGTTTGCAAAATTTGTACTTTGCCTAAAACCTCTGTTGTTTCTCTACTAAAGAAAAAGAGAGGTAAAAAAATTTTGAGATAATCAATTTTCCCAAGAAGATGACATTTATTGTAAAAAACTGAAGAGACTCCACTTCTGCAGGATCAATAATCGCAACCAGTTGAATTGCACTTAGCAATTCAGATTTGATAGACTAAATTTTTAAAATTATGGTCGCTCAAGCAGAAAAGATTCCAAAAACCGGGTTTCGCGATTGAACACAACCTGAGGATTGCCGGGTAGTTTCGCGTGAAAACAATAAATTTGCAAACAACTGTCAAAACTTTTTTTTTCTTAAACTGGGCATAGCCAATTATAAAAGTGAACTTTCAACAACCTGTTCAGTCGATTCAACTTTTATAAATTTTTACTTTTCCGAGGGCCAAAACATTACTTGTCAAAAAATGTGGGCGTAGTCGCAGAAGCAAATGAGCTTTCCACAACCCCTTCTGAGAATTCAACCCAAAATATCAGATATGGCAGGGTAGTTTGACATTTAAAATCTGACATTTCCGAGGGCGAAATTTTTGGTGTAAAACTTCTGTGGGTGTTCGCTAATGAAGAGGCGTTTCCCACTACCCATTATCTCCATTGAACCCACAAAATCAGCTTTGAGTTTAGTTTTCGAGAAAAGTCGAAAAGCTTCACAAAACGGTCAAAAACCAAAAACTTGACTAACCCGAGGCCATAACCAAATATTTTAAAAACTGGGAATAGCCACTTATGCAGGAGAGCCTTTCAAAACAGTTATGCTCATTAGAATCATATACTCATATTTGAGAGGGCTTGAGTTCGAGAAAACGAAAAGAAAATCAAAATATGTGTCAAATAACCTTGAATGAAATTAAGTAATTTCGCCGAAAAAAAAGAGCAGGACAACCGAAATATTTAGTAAATCACATCATCACTAGACAATTTTACACAGAGGCAAAGCGATACACTTAATAAATTGCATTACAAGATATTGAATAGAAAGAAGGAAGTCCATATTCTAGTAGTTAAAAGTTAAGAAGAAAAAATAACTTCAGAGTCGAAAACTCATCTAAAAAAAATTAATACCCTCGTTAAGCCGAAAACGAAACTGTTGACATAAAATCATTTTAGAATTTTTCAAGAAAAAGCATTTACGACCCATCGCTGCTGAAACAAGCAAAATCATTCAAAATAATTCGTTCTTAAATCTGCGCAACATAAGCTGACTTGCGATTGTTTTTTTTTTAAATACTTCAAAAAGATGAAGCTGAAAAAATAACTAGAAAAAACTCCATCTAGAAAAAAAAAATTGCATACCTTTCTCTCGGAGGATGTTCATAAACAGTCTTAATAAGCATCGAGAATCCACGACCGAGCGCCAATTAAGGTGAAAAAAAATTGGGCGGAACCTCGTTTAGCCGGAAACGAAACTGTCGACATGAAAAAACTTCAAGCTAAAAGATGAAAACTTTAACGACCTATTTCTCCTGAAACAGACAAAAGTATTTTTTTTGAAAAAATCACCAGTGAAACTACGTAACATAAATTGACTAAGCTTATATATCATTAGCTGAATCCCTTTACTGAAAAAAAATTATTAAGTTTTTTAAAATCAGAAGTGGTAATTTAACAAACTACAAAGCAAATTTCAAGTACAGTAAAATCAGCTTGAATCAAAAACCAAAAAAAACCAGCTTTGAAAAAGAACCCTTTGATAAAAATACCAGACAATACGAATTGCATTTGAAAAAAAACTCGGACAACAGCCGACGACAGAAATTAGGACAAAACCACAAATCCGAAAAAATCAATTTTTTCAAATAACTATATTTAAAAATACTAACTAAAACCACACATGAACTGAAAATAAGTTTTATTTGAAATCTCTAGAAATTGAGCTTGTCAGCCTATGAGCATGTAAAAACTGAGCATTTCGACATAATTTGAAAGTTGTTTACGGGAAGAATCTGGTTCCCGATTACAAGCCACTTGCTCTCGCAAGTGAATTAAATAATGATGATTAACTAGTGCCAACGAAACTTTTTAAACTAAGAAGCAAAATAACTAGAAGCCTAAAAATAAAAACAAAATAATGATCGGGAAAAAGTAAAGCACACTGTAGGAATGGAACATCTGTCTTCTGCATACCAGATTTCTATTCTCAAACCAGTAATCAACTGCCGCTACCATTAAAACAACAAAATTGCCACGTGAATTAAATAATGATGATTAACTAGTGCAAACGAGACTTAAAAAAAAAGCAAAAAAATAGAGAAAACCTAGAAATAAAAACAAATTAATGATCGGGAAAAAGTAAAGCACACTGTAGGAATGGAACATCTGTCTTCTGCATACCAGATTTCTATTCTCAAACCGGTAATAAACTGCCGCTATCATTTAAGAAAACAAAATTGCCACGAGATCCAAGATGAATCGCAGTGGTAACATTTCCTACAAGAAACACGTATACAAGATTTCATTCAATAGCTTACAAACGCTCAATTTAAACCATCTATCATGTATATCAAATAAAAATGAAAATTTTTCCACCAAAAAGTTATCGCACCGGTCAAATTAGCATTGGAGGCAAATAAACCAAATTTCTGACCATTCATTGAAAAAAAATATTATTTTACAAACCAAAGTCCCTTTCTTTGTGAATGTTGTGATGAAAGAACTAATCAAACTGCAGATAGATTGTGAAATAGGCATAGTAAACAACAGTCAACTTGAAAAAAAAATACAAATAGCAATCAAATAAAAAAAGAAAAAAATTCTTTTACAGAACAGTTCTTTTTTAGGAAAACTTTTTATTGCGATAGAAGCTTAAATGTAGCTTTCAAAACTAGTTTTTCAGGAACACAATTAAGTTGTTTACTACTTTCTGGCTTCACTTGCTCAAAATTAGACTAACAATAACCAACGCGTTTTCCTTGACACCGAATTTTTTGAAAATTTTTCAACGTATTTCGAACCACAGCAGCAATGGCTTGAATAGTATATATCACTCGAACCACTCCGATGATTAGTTGCTATATCTAATTGTGGTTGAAAAACAAATTAAGCCTGCTCGTTCACTTCATTCACTCGAAATTAGATTTAAATACAAAAACTTTAATCGGTTTATCTCGAAGAATTTTTTGAACATTTCCAAATGTCTTTCAAATCACGATTGAAAGGGCTTTACGATGATATAGTATTGAACCCATTCCAATCATTGTTTCTGAAACTTGATTCTAGGTGGCAAACCTTAACGAAAAAACTAAAAAACGCGAAGATAAAGTTCCTCACATTTTTCTAGGTTCGAAAAATCGAATTAAAAACTGAGTAAACGGTATCTCTGCGGGTAGATAAAGAACTCGTACCACCCTTATTAACAGTTCCCAAAATATGCAGGTTTGATAATAAGACATACAAAATAGGCTTGACATTATTTTTGAATTAATTATCAATTGAATCAGCGTCTTAAAAACAATTTAGACGAAAAATTTATGACAAACAAATGGTTCTAAATGTTTAAAAGAATAAGGAAACTGAAAAAAGAATCACAACGACTTTTTCAACTATCGAAATTCGAAGAATTAGTAATAATTTATTAAATTGTTAGGAATTAGAATTGATTCGAGAAAATTGTTTTCGAATTCTTAATAATTTTTTTGTCCCATTTAGAGAAATAAATTGATAGGTAAATTTTTATAATGCTAGAAATTCACAACATTGAAGTCCATTTCCGAAACAAGAAATCATTTACGTTTTTCGTGACCACGATATTTAAACTCTTCCATAACGGAGCTGGCCTTCTTTAAATCAACTGAAGTAAAAAGACCGACAGCGTCAGACGAAGTGAAATTTTTATATTTGGATTTGCTTTAAAAGAATAGCACCCCAAACAAGAAAAAAATCGTGAGCATCGTCAATTGTTGAAACAACGCACAAAAACGGAATTAAATAGTTTTTTTTTGTTCCGCCGATAGTCTTACAAAAATTTAACGAAATATCATGAAAATAAGTATCGCCCACTGCTGTGGAAGTAGCAAAACATTTTCCGAACACTGTGAAATAAAATGATTGGAAATTCTTGAACATAGCTAATCGAAGATTGGAAAAGAGCAATAAACGCAAGTAAAAATTAAAAAACCACTGACTTTCTTGAAAAAAATCTCAACTTTCGAATTTCAAAAAAATAGATGCCCTTTAAGCTCTTTAAATTTCTAGAACAATTTATGACGAGAACAATTTTGATAACATGAACCCAACTAGAGAAAACTGCATCAATAGTTAAAGATTTTATTCCGCTGGAAATCTAAAAATTAAATTCTACCTTCGAAACTAGAAATCGTTCACGTTTTTTCACGCCATTTCCACGTTCGTATTTGAGAGTGCTATTTACGTCACTTTCAGCAGATGCATTGCAATTTAAGTCAAAAAGTGGATATATACCTAAATGCATTCATATATGCATCGATATGTATGAATGCACATCTGTAGTAATTAGAGACCTTTAGGACTTTTCCTAAATAAAAAACAAAAAAAAATCAGGAAGACCTATATAAGAGTCTTCACTACGTTCATTACCCTTAAAAAGGGAAAAACTCGATTGAGCTTAGTGTAAAAACTGAATTAAAACTACATTTGGCTCAAATTCAGTGTCGTCAAGTTGGTCTACAAATCAAAGAAATGCATTTTTTCTCGAATCAGAGAATTCTACGAAAAGATCCAGATACCTATATGGACTCAGTTTAACAATGCAAAAAAGGGGAACCAAAAAATAATGCAATAAATGGAAACCAAGTCGAAGGGTGACAGAGCTTTTCAAGTAGTAACTGGTTATGCTCACCCAGCAGTATAAAAAATTATTCCGCAAATAAGGAAAGAGCAAAGTCTAAACAAAAATAGCCCGATTCGGTTCAAACCCGGCGAAAACCCCAATAAATGTCCTAAATATGAACAATTACAACAATAGATATATCGGAAACTATCAAACAAATTATCTATTTTTACAGCTGGAATTCGTTCATTTAATTTTAATCTGTCAAGACTATTCATATGAAGTTTTTTTGACAGCTGTCTTTTGTCAAGGCACCATTTTGCTCTCACAACTCATTCCCGACCTTGATATGGTTAAACAGGAGATTTTTTAGGAACACTGTGAAAATCGCAAAGCCAGTTATATTTACTTCGCTTCTTGCTTTTGAATTTGACTAGTTTTTCCTTTGTACGTTTTTGCTGCGGACTTTCGGTTACTTCTGTTTTTGCTGACAATTCTATTTTTACTATCCTCCGACATTGCACTTGCCGATCTTTCTTTTACTGTCAGAGACTGCTTTGCTTCCCGACTTACTCGACATTATAACACTGCATTTATTCCCGGAAAGAGTTTATTCTCGGAAACATTGGAGCCCCGTGACATGCTGACGATTGCACTGACTGTCTCGGTCTTGATACAGATAACAGCCATTTTTACTGAGATCGATGAGTTGATCTTCTTTGTAGCATGGATCGAGCAGCTGAAGGCCTTCGACGCAGTTTAACAATGCGATAACTTCGACGCAGTTTAACAATGCGATAAATGAAAACCAAAAAAAAATAACTCCAATGCAGGATAGCAGACCTTTTCAAGTTGGAATGGGTTATGCTCACCCAACAGCATCAAAAAACATTCAGGGAATACGAAACCAGCAAAATCCAACTAATAATTTCTTGATTTGGTTCGAATCCGGAGAAAAGCCCTACAAATGTCCTAAATTCCTAAAAATAAGCAATTGCAACAACGGATATGAAAAAACTCTAAAAACTATCAAACAAATTATCTAATCAAGCAGCTGGAAACTATTCCAATCAACTTTGATCTGTAAAAAAAAACCTTTTATATATTTTTGCGGATTGCCTTCTGTCGCGGTATCAGTTCTTTTCCACTTTTTGGAGTGGTAGGAACAATAAATATAGCCAACTAACATTTGGCAAAGAGTAATGAACGCAAGGAATCTGAAAAAAAAACTGACTTGTTTTTTTAAAGCCTTCAATTTTTGAATTTCGAAAAAAATAGATGGTTTTAAAACTCTTTGAATTTGTAGAACAATTTATGACGGCCGCTTTTTTGTTTAAATTAACCCAATTTGAGAACACTGGATCAATAGGCAAACTTTTATTTCGCCTTTAGTCCGTTTTTGAAATAAGGAGTCGATCACGTTTTTCGTGACCTTTACATTTTTGCTGTTCGATAGTGGAGTTTGCCTTCCTCTTAACAATGCAAATGCACTGAACTAATGATCAAAATTACCAGTCAAACCGCAAAAAAAAACAAAATTGAGCGTGAAAAAATCAGCAAGACCTATATAAGAGTTTTCGCTACCTTCATTACTCTTAAAAACACTATAAAGTAGGTGCTATAAGATTTATATAGTTCGAAAATAACACAAACTCATTCCAAATATGGATATGATTAACCCAGAGATTTTACTACGAGCACTATGTGTAAATCGCAACGCATTTAAAACAGCTAGAGTACAACATTCTTCTTTAATCATGAAGATACACATTTTTTTGGTATAAAACTAGTACTTTCGTTACTAAAAATATTTCAATTTTTGTTACGAAGCGTTGTATTCACTGTGCTTCTTGTTTTTGAATTTTGACTAGTTCTTCCTTTGTCCGCTGTTGCTGTGGACTTTCGTGGGCTTCTGTTTCTGCTGACACTTCTATTCTTACTACCCGCCGACAGAGCACTCGCTGATCTTGCTTGACTGCCAGACATTGCTCTACTTCCAGAAAGGGCTTTACTTCCAGATACTGCTTTGCTTCCGGACCTACTTGACCTCATAATACTACTTTTATTCCCGGAAAGACTTCTATTCTCGGAAATATCGGAGCCCCGTGAGACGCTACGAGGCGACTGTGCAGACTGTCTCGGTCTTGATACAGATGACTGTCGTTTCTGCTGAAATTGCTGAGTTGATCTTCTTTGTTGCTTGGATCGAGCAGCTGAAGGTCTTGGAGGAGATTGTTGTGTTGACCTTCTTTGCACAGATTGAGAACCCGATTTTCTCGGTGATTCTGTTGACCTTTTCGCTGGTCTTGTGTCATCTTCAGTTTTGGTGGTTGACCTACGATAGTTTGCACTCGGTCTTAACATATTACGATTTTTAACATCTTCATCATCGTTATCATCTTGGATACTTTCTTTATTATCACCACCTCGTTCTTGTGGTTTAGAAGCGTGTCTTTTGTCCTCCATTTGTGCTTCGGCTTCTGGCTTCTCGTAACGTTTCAATTTTCCCCGGTGTGCTTCTAATTTGGGAGCCAAATAAGTGACCGCGGGATCCCCACCCCACAAAACTTGCTCCACTTTATCCATGACTTAAACAAAATCAATGTGAACATCACTTCTGATAAGAAACTTTTGAATGCCTTGAACGATTCATTTCAAATTAAAACAACTGATAGCTGAAATTTAATATTTCAATTAGGAACACAAAAACAATCTGACCCATCCGCCTTTACAGGAACAACGCTGACATTTCTCTTTAATTATATAAATATTAACATTATATAAAAAAAAAACATATAAAAACTATCGCTTAAATCCTTTCATCAACAATTTTATCGTGAGTAAATGAAGAAGAATAAACAGTATCATTATTTATTCCTGATTTTGTTTTAAGATTAACAAACAAGAGGTCAAGTTAATTAATAGTAGTAACTTACACCTGGACATTAAGTTGGGTCCATCGAGGGATATAGGAGACATGTCCTGAGAGGAGTCATAGTCCACTGCATCCCCTCCATAGCTCAGCACTCTTTTCACTTGGGAGATCGAATTGGACTTGGATCTAAAAACAAAGAAAATCAACCATGCAAAACGAGCATTGATTGCAGAACGGATTTTTAATAACAAAAAAAAACAATTGCATCCAGTCAACTTGCTGAAACTTCCTTCACATGGAAACAGAAGAGGAGTGGTTAGCAAATGTGCCTAAATTTCAGTCGGTTTCCAAAGCGATCGAACGCTAGATACGAGATTCAAAGCGAGATACTTTGGAGCTGTGCCAAAGACCATGGAAGAAATTGCAATTCTAAAGGAGCTTCAATACTAAAGGGGAGATTTTTTATCATGACAACGGGTCATGGATTATGACCGGCTTATTGTATTCACATCTGATTGAAATCTGTACATTCTTCAGCGATACACAACTTGGCATGCTGACTGTACATTTAAAAGATTCCCCTCATTTTTTTCGATTCAATGATGTAAGTCTAATGAATGAATGTATTTGTAATATTTCTCGAGGAGCGTACTCTTATGATAGGGTAAGAGGCTTTTTCTGTGCGGTATAATTTTTTTTTATTTTGATCAATAAGTTTATATGTAATATCAGTTGGTTTTTCAATAAGTTGGTAGGGTCCTTTTCGGAGTGGTTGCATTTTTTTCAATATTCCTATATGGATGAAGAAATTTCGTATTAATACATATCTTCCAATTTTTTAGTCTGATGCTGATGTGAAGCTGGTATCTCGCTTCACACCAGCTGCAGACTTAAAAACTGGAACATATGTACTCATACCAAATTTTTCAACCCAAATAGGAATATCGAAAAAAATGCAACCACTCCGAAAAAATCAACTGATGTTACATATAAACTTATTGATCAAAATAAAAAAGAAATTACACAACACTTCACTTACCCTATTATAAGAGTACGCTCGTCGAGAAATATTACAATTATATTCATTCACTGTACTTCATATCAATGAATCGCTACCAGCAACAAATAATACAGATCTTCCAACTAGAACAAAATAAAACCTTAACCACACAAAAGAAACAATTACAACATCCAAATACTAAACCCACTGAGGTACAAAAACCGTAAATTACAAGAAAATTTATTCCAAAAATAAAAGAAACATCCACACTTCTATTGCAGCCCATAACTCATCAACAAAAATACCAAAACAAAAATTGCAACAAGCATTTCGGGGTGTTATACCAACTTCTCCTATTATTAGATTCTACAATTTGCTATTAATTTCAGAAAAAACTGTAAATTTGGCTTTCAAATACAAATTTTCCACAGCGTTTGTAAAAAAAGTATTCATTTTGCGCAGGCCAATTGGCGAAAAATTCAGGAATTGTGATTGGCAGTTGATTTTAGAAAGGAAATAGTTACGAAAATGATCCTTTATTGCTGTGGCTTTTATTCCTGAGTGCGACTTGAAGATGTTAGTAAAAGGCTACTTGAATCTGCCAGTAGAGATTTTAGACGCCATCACAACTGAGAATAAGCCTCTCAAGACGTATCTCGATTATTGCGAGAAAAAAACGCGAGTGGTGGAATATATACGTGTAATAAATACGAGCTTTCAATTAGGAATGGGTTATGCTCACACCAGAGTATGAAACGTCATTCAGCAAATAAGGACGGAGCAAACTAACAGAAAATCGCCTGATTCGATTCAAATCCGGAGGAAAGAGCTATAAATGTTATAAATATGAACGACTGTAACAAAGGATATCAGAAAATCTTCTAAACAATCAAAACAATGATCTAATTTTGCAGCTGGAAGCTCTTTCATTCAACTTCGATATGTAAAACTCATTATATCAAAAACAAATTTGACATTTTATATTTTACCGCTTTTTCACATTTAGATTAAAGAAAAATATAATTTTCGTTGCAGTTTTAGCAAGTCTTTTTTTGCGAGTTGTTTGTTGCTGCGGCACCTGAGAAAAAAAAAACAATTGTGTACATATCAAAAAGAAAACCTTCCAAATTTTCCAAATTCTTTTATTTGCTTCTTAATTTTATTTTCAATTCTGCGGTCGGAGCATTCTGCGCTATTTGACTAATCTCGTTCATATTGGCAATAATTGACACTACCAACCTGGGACTGCAGTTATCCTTCTGTGGATAGTAGTCACGTGGCAAATTAGCCAGCAGTCTGTCTCTATTCTCCCTGCAGATTGAACAGGACTCTGCAAAATCACACATGGAACAGAAGGAGGAATATGAATCTCCCATTGAGTCGAAGGAGGCCGACTGGTTGTTATTTTTGTTGTCGCGAGCGGATGATCTGCACGTATCACACCTACAAAAGTCATCATAATGAAACAAAACATTTCCCTCGGGCTACCTTTATACTTACCTTTAAACTTCAACTCAAGGATGCCCATGCAAAAACAAAAAAAAGACTGTAGAAAGGAAACAGAAGTTCATTGATCCATTCTTTGAAAAAAAAAAAACATTCGAGGAAGAAAAAAAAACATTTTTCGTGCTGAGAGGAAACGAACTAGAGAAAGCTTAGAGCTTTGTGAATTATGCATAATCGACTAGTTGTCGTCAAAAATTTAAACGCTTCAAAACTTCTCATGTCGTGGGTTGCACCTTCGGATGAATTAAGCCAGCTTGCTCGCCATAGCGACTAACTAATATATTTTACCTTTCTTTCTCATTGAACATAAAGTTTCACTCACAGTTTGGTAAGTTGAGTCTGCTGGAACCTGTTTCTACAACTGTCACAGGTGTAGTCATTCATCCTCTGTCTGCAAGTGGGACACACTCCATCTTCCATGGCCGCAATGGACACCTTCTTCCGCATACCACACTTCAAAGAGGAGTCGGCACCACTAGCCCGAGGAGAAGCTAAAATGAGAAAAAGCTTCCAGTGCCACCGACAAAAAACAAGACATTTTCGCGTCAGGCATTTGTTTTCTAACCTTATGTATCAAGAACAAATGTGTATGTAATAAGAAAACATCATACACGCCAAACTTCATAATTATCGATCAATAAGACTTATTTTCACTTCATATTGTAAAATCGCAGGTGGCGAGAAAGCGTTAAGAAAGTCAGGAAAATTCACTCTTCACTCACACTTACTCTTATCTTAAATGAAGAGGCAGAAAAAAATTAATGCTATACGAATTGAACTTTTCACAAGGCCAATCGGCCATTTTTTCCTATTCTTAAATGAATTAACGACTATCAAGAAAAGAACTGCTGAATACTTTGAATGAAGTTATCATAGTCGTCAAAATCTATCAGTCAATTTTGAACAACTATTTGTTTTTTAACCTATTTCATCGAGTCGGGGCACTGACGGACGAGCTTCCGGTTGCTTTCCTAAATGTTTTGTCTTTTGCGCCGAGTTGACTCCTTGCGTCGGAACTCTACCAGCAGGATGACCCGGTGGTGGCTTGCCACCATCAGTTGTCCAACTTTTCCTGGCAGTCATGAAGTTATCATCTCCAGTATCAGCAGACAAATTTCCATCCCGGGCATTCAGATTCGATACATGATTCGGAGAATGATCATGGTTACGTTGAGGCATAAGTATTTGCTTCTCTCCTGTCCTTAAATCCTCGACTGATATACTCGGAGATAGTTTCTCTCGAAGTTGAGGAGATCGTCGTCTGAGCAAAGAAGCAGTGCTCCTACTTCTCCCGTGTCTTAGAGATGGCGAAGTTTGTGATTCTTTATGCAGTATCGAATCCCACTGTTGCTGACCCATCATCTCGGGGTTATCTGGCGTGTCTGGAAACATAGCTGGATCCGGAGTTCTCGGTGTCTTGTAGGGGGTTTGGACCGACTCCCTAGGAGTATGAGACTCATGCTCACAACCTTCAGGCGGAGGATCCTCGCCCAATAATGTAATTTCCTTTCTACGATTTGAGACGTAAGTTGGCCACTGATATCTTGGGATATTCTGATCATTCACTGAACTTCTGACAGATCTTACAATGTGGTCTGACTGGTCTGAAGCGCATCCATAATGAGGCTCCTGGTCTGTTAATCTGTTGGAAGGTTGCATGGGTCCCACTTCCCATGTCGGGTTTGATTCAACTGAATAGTTTGATGTCCTTGGAATGCCAGGCGAGTGCGGTCTTCTTTTCTGCTGAGGATAGGAATCGTAATTGTCAATAGGCGAGACTCCTGATTTTGTCATTGGAGTTCCTCCTGCATTCGGTGTCTGCGAGTACTGCCCATAACTCATCGGGGTACGTCCACTAGTTTGTCCTGGCGAAAATTGATTGGCTCCGCTATTCTGTGCAGGCGAATATTGATTATTCGACATAGGAGAATTTTGAGTCATTGACATTGGTGTCACTTGTCCAGACTGAGATGCTGGGGACGGCGGGGGAGCCTCGTGATCCACAATATAGTTCGTGACGTAGCGGTTGTTATACAAACTGGAGTCTGAAACAGTTGAAGGTGGTTTTTCGGGAGCTGGCAGCTCATACATATCATCAGTCATCATTTGCACTTCATCGCGAGGTGAGACTGCTGGAAGATATTCTGGTTTCGAATATATCGTTGTTTGAGACTTCACTACTCTAATATTTGGATCACTTTTTCCACTCTTGGGACTCAGCATATGATGCGATTCACCACATCGAGTTAAGCAAACCTCATTCGAATGTGTAACTCCCTGAGACGAAGTATTGAACGAGTAACTGGGACCACTGTACCCTTGCGTTGGTTGAGTATCCGAGGTATTTATTATCACTGGACCTGACCTAGGAGTTTGACTAGGCATTGTATTAAATGGTGTAGCACAGCAATCAAACGCTTTGTCGCAGCACTTCACCCGTTCTGTTGATAAACCTACGAACATTGCCGCATTACACTTTTTACCACATCGTTTTCCACCACCTGGAGACTTCGGAGGACTCCCATTTGAAGCATCTTCAGGTTTCAATCTCATCATTTTTGTTTTACCAGCTGCTCCTTTACCCTTTCCACGACCTCTTCCCGCGCCTTTATTTCCTTTCCGACCTCGGCCAGCTGGACTTCTGGGCTTGCGTATTGGGCTACCATCTTTCTTTTTTCCTTTCTCTGGACTTCGCGGGTTCATTGGATGCAGTTTATTATTCTTAGGGTCATTAATCTCATTACCACATTTTGCGCATAAGTCGTCTCCCTTTTGCTTGACTGGAGACGGCGGCGGAGGCGTCAACGGCTTCTTTGGGTATCCAAACACCGGATGCTTCACATGATGGAATCTATCTTGATCTGTGGGTGCTCTTGTTTCGTTGATTCCAAGACTTTCCAATGTATAATTGCTTCTAGACTGGCTGTCATCTTCATGCACGCGATACATCATTTGCACCGGAAGAAACGGTACGGCGTTCGAAGTTGCAACCGAATGTCCTTCAATTCTTTCCTCGTCATCAAACGGACACCTGGGCGGAGGCGTTGGAGGCGGTGTTTTGGCCTTACCTTGTGATGTCACCTGAGATTTCATCGCCGTCAGCTTCGATTTCTTGTTTGTCAGTTTACTTTTCTTGGCTGCCATTGGTCCAGTTTTGCTTGCTTTCGATTTTAATTTACTCGCTTTTGACTCTTTCTTAGCAAGTGCGCTCTTTTTCGGAGTCCCACTTCTAGAGCGTTCACCTGGTGTGATCGACTTTGCTCCGCTCTTTGACGTCTTTTGGGACGTCTTACCAGCAGTCTTCGACTTCTTCTTTGACATCTTGGAATCCCTGCCTTGCGACTCTTCGCTATCACTGAATCTAACTTTCGATTGTGCATCTTCTGGTCGTAACTGATTTGCACTTTTCTTTGATTTTGATCCTGCCGTTTTCTTCCGACTTTGCCGGGCTTCTTCCTCCTCTCCGCCAGTCGAGTCTCCTTCATCCAACGACGTCGACTTCGACAGAGACCTCTGTCCACTTCCTCTTAAATCGCTCCCGTTTCTATCGCCCTCTTGACCATCCATTTCTCTTTCATCATCAGTCCGCTCGCCCTCTTCGTCTGTTCTTTCTCCTTCCATTGACTTCGAAATATCTTCAGGGTTCACATTATCTTGATACGTTGCATCTTCCTCCGGGTTATCTTCTTCCTTCTTGTCTGACTCTGACGCTTTCCAATCATTCAAATCCGGATCAGTTTCTCCTTTGGCTGGTTCTTGCTCCCTCTTCTGACCATCATCATCGCTATCTTTATCCCACGAAGGAGTTCTCTTAGATCCTTTGTCATAAGACGACCCAGTCACACTTCTTCCGACTGATGTCTGATTGTCCATTGAAGCACTATTCGATTCTCCACCCTCCTCCAAATCTTCGGTTGGCTTGTCCTCGTCTATTCCAGTACTGGTTCTTTTTCCAGGGTCGGGACCTGCGGGAGAATCTGATTTTGAAGGAGCAGCACTTCCTCTCAATTGCGACTTTGACTGTTTTTGGCTTGTAGGGTTGTTTGACTGGACTATATCTTTAGAGCTAGTGGCAGATAACCGTTGCTGTTCGCCTGCGTTTTGCTGTAGACGTTCAGGTTGCGCATTTTGGTCTTTTGACTGCTGGCCTTCTTTGTTTGCATCATTTCCCAACTGGTTAGGGTCTGGCACCTCTGCCTGATTTGGATCCGGAAGTCCAGCTCGATCAGGGTTCTGCTGTCCAGCTTGATTTGGACCTTGCTGCCCGGCTTGATTTGGATCCCCTTGGCCTGATCGTTTGACACCCTCTTCCCCCATTTCATTCTGTTTATTCTCTTGATTCGGCCCTTTCTCTCCGTTTTGGTTCAGATCCTGCTGTTTGTCATTTGCTTGAGTCGGATCTTCCGGTTGCATATTTTCTTGATTCGGATGTTTTTGTTCTCCGTCTTGTTTTTCAACCTGTTGTTCCTCTTGATTTTGCTGCTCCTTATTGTTGACTTCATTTGGACCCTGCTGCGCATTTTGATCTTCATTTTTGGGCCTACCTTCATCCCAATCTCCCCCTTTGTCCTTATCCCAACTTGGAGTACTTTTAGACTTCTGGTAACTAGAAGGTGGTTTCGTTCTTCCTTTAGTTTCCGAGCTTTTATCTTTCGTCACTGAACTTGTTGCAGTTTCAGCTTGTTGTTCTGGCAATGGTTTCTTCTCGTATTTATTTGCAATTTGACCGATAGCTTTTATTGACCCTTCTGAAAACTGACCCTTTTCTTTGCCATCTTTTGGTCCCTTGGAGTTTGCATTTTCTTCTTCCTCTGCAATTCGACCAGCATTAGGTTCTTGACCTCTTTTTTTAGAACCACCTTCGTTTCCATCTTGATTGTTACCAGGCGCAGTGTTTGATTGCATTGATCTCTTGAACTTACTAGTGTCGTGTTTGTCTAGATCCGTATTTCCGTCACTTCCCATGAACTCGGATCTGAAGTCCGGAACATCGTTAGTTCCTCCCGATTTATAATTCTTCCCATTTGTTTCGTAATAAGTATCGCCATCTGGCAGGTTATCGGGAGGCGGTGGAGGAGTCACTGGAGGTGGGTTCCCACCGTCATCAAACCCAGACTTAGTTTCAGTATTATACGTTCTGGTTCCCTTGCCTTCGACATCTTGCGAATCCCTAGAGCCACCCTGATTTTTCAGTTCCCTCTCAGATCCTGGTTTCTTCCTACTACCGCTTCGGCCAGTTTTTGATCCCCTGGAACTTTTCGAATCTCCTGACTTAGCAGATTCACGAGAACTTTTGGATTTTCTCGAGGTTTTCGACTTTTCCAACGAACCTTTCTCGCGAGACCCTCTTTCCTTACTTTCTCTACTTGTTCGGCTTTTCTGAGCCGATCGCTTCTGATCTGATTTCGATCTCTTGCGATCATCATTGCTTTTAGAAGCTGTGTCTTTGGAAGTCGCTCCGGATGCTCCTGACATTGTTCTCATTAGATCATCGTCATAAGACTCAGACTGCAGTTGGCTATATTTTTGGTATTGATTCGAGTTGGAAACTTTATTCTTTGAGGCTGAACTAGCAGTATTGCCGCTCTTGGTAAAACTACCTGTTCCTTTGCTCGGTTTCTTATACGTTTCATCCCCGCTATGCGTTATTTCTGTCTCGTACGTATACTCAGATTCATCGTCATTACTATCCTTAACTAATGCCTTAGAATTCGTCGCAGTCTTCGACTTCTCATTAGTAACTCTTTTATCGACAGATTTTTCTTTTCCGCCCGCACTCTTATCATTTCGCTCCTCGTCAGCACTTCGTCCAGATTTGCTCAGGGATCCATTTTTGGAACCATCTTTAGCTTTTGATCCTTTGCTTTCGGAAGTCTTTTTGTCTTTACTTTTTGAATCAGCGGTTTTACTCACAGATCCTTGTTCCGAATACGTCTCAGAAGCATAATAATACTCCTCTTCATCATCGTCATCATCCCCTTTGGATTTTTGTCCACTTTTCGCATCGCTTTTGCTTCCACCTCCACTCTTGCCTTCATTCCCACTTTGATCTTTGCTCTTGTTCTTCGAAGCATCCTTACTTGCCGACCTTCCCGCACTTTTAGAACCACTCTTTGATGTGTCTGCACTGCGTGATTGAGACTTTGTTCCAGAAGTTCTTTCTGATGAACTCTTTGAGCCCGGACGCTTTGTCACTCTTGCTCTTTTACCATCAGTTCTATTCGGCGTATTCTCCGTATTCTTTTCACCTCTTGACTCTTTCGTTGTTCTTTCATTTGATTTTAAGTTAGAATCATCCTTTGATTCTTGTCCAGACCTCTCCGCTAACTTAGATTCTGATTCCTGGCCTGACCTTTCATTAGTTTTTGACCCGGTCTCTTTGCTGTTATCTTCATCTTGTGACCCTTTGAAGCTTCCATAGGTATAATAGTACGTGCCGTCATCTTCACTGCCGCCTTTGGATTTCGATACTTCGTTCGATCCAGCATCAGATTTGCTCTTTTCCTTATTCTTGCTGTTCTTGGAAACATCTTGACTTTCTTGGTCTTTACTTTCTTTGTCTTTGCTGGCTTTCGAAACTTCCTCGCTTTTTCCATCTTTCGTGCTTTTATCTTTCGAAGCAGTTGCTGTAACAAGTTCGTCTCCGCTGATTTCTGTGTATGTGTAAGTATCGTCATCTTCGTCGCCATTTTTCGCGCCTCCTGCATTCTCAGTTTTGCTTGCAGTTACACTAGCACTAGGTTTATTACTGTCTTGCTCGTCCACGTCTGCAGATTTGGAGGCGCTATCATTTTCATTTTTGGACGATTGTTTCTTCTCGTCGTCTTCCGACTTGCTTTTTGCATCTTCGTTTTCCGACTTGCTTTTTGCATCTTCGTTTTCCGACTTGCTTTTTGCATCTTCGTTTTCCGACTTGCTTTTTGCATCTTCGTTTTCCGACTTGCTTTTTGCATCTTCGTTTTCCGATTTGCTTTTTGCATCTTCGTTCTCCGATTTACTTTTCTGCTTTGAGTCATCGTCTGAACCAGTATAGGACTCGGTCACATAAGTATAGTCGCTTTCTTCCTCGTCTTTTGAACCTTCTTTCGACTTCGATCCTTCCTCTATATTCTCTGGTGTTTTAGCACCGGTTGCTGTAGTGTCTTTCTTTTCAGTTTTCGAAGCCGTGGCGGCGCTTTTGCTTTGATCTTTTGTTGTCCTAGTTTGACCTTCCTTAGATACTACTTTATCGTCGCTTTCAGACACCGGTGTACTACTTTCTTCTTTACTCTGACTTCGAGTTGTAGCTTCGTTAGTGGCACTTTTATTCTTTGAACTCGAATCCTTGGAGGAGCTCCATAGCGTACCTGAATTCTTTCCCAATGTATACTTTCCCTGAGACGTTTTCGATTTCTCATTTTTCTTAGCTGCCCTTGATTCTGCCAATGAGGAGGATCTCGCTTGTGAAGATGAGTTCGCCTTCAGATATTTCGAGTTCTTTTTCGAGCTCTTCGCTTCTTTTTTGGCTAGTTTTTCTTGCTTCTTTCTTTCTTTTTCCTTCTGCTTCAGTTCTTTTTTCTCCTGCTTTGTCAGCTTTTTATCTTTTTCCTTTTTCGACAGCCATGAATTCACGTATGGATTCGTAGCTCTTTTATCCTCCGGTTCGGGCTGAAACGCACTTCGCGAGTCATAACTTCCAGGTTCGTCATAGGTAGGACTTGATTTGTCGTTAGATGGTTTATCTTTCGCTTCCTGTTCGGCTAATAATCTATCTGAGGCAGCCGACGCTTTTTTAATACTAGCTTCAGTATCTCCGGTGTCCGATTCAGTTGCATATGTATACTCTGTCGACCCCTCTTCGTCATCCGAAAGACTTTTTGAAGAAGACTTTTTGGACTTTGGTTTGGACTTCCCTTTGGTTTTATTCTTGGACGTTGTTCCAGAGGAACTCGGGCTCGACAGTTGCAGTTCATCAGAGTCAGACACAGTTCCTGAAGATTTACCTAAAACGTCAGCTTAATGAGCGGCTCCAATTGCAGTCCAATCCCGTTCATATTAGAAATGTCTCTTTTGCTTTTGTTAACAAAGGCCAAATCAAAAAAATATGCACAATGGAAAACACTGGTTAAGCTATGAAACTTGTGTTGTGATTTTGCAGAAGCGTTACACCATTCAATTTCACAGATAATCTTACAACTAGGGGCCCAGCTGAAAGCTGGAGAGACCTGTTTGATTATTTTAATATTGATTATTTTAAAATTGTTTTAAAATTTCAGGTTTCTCAAGTCGATAGCGCCCTTCCTACGCAAAAAAAGTGAAAGAGAAGCTTATGCATTCATTGGTAACGCTTTTGTCCAAGCATTGCAAATATGACTATAATATGTTGACTATAACTGACATCACAAAAACGTTCTGGAACAAACCGACCTGATTAAAGAGAACTAGCGTAACTCGTGCAACTTCTCGTTGGACTTCTTCAAACCATACAAAAAACTCAACACAAAGCCAATAGCACCAAGCAAAAGCGAGAAAACGTAAGCATAGCGGATTCCATTCTAAAAAATATATTGTATATTGAATCTTTGTTCCAATGCCAAAAAACTTTTAAAAATTTTTTTCTAAGTGTACAGCTCTTCCCCGAGACAAATTAAGGACCAGCCGCTTGGGCAGGGGAGTTTCCTACAACCTGGTCTATCGATTAAACCCTTAATCCCATATCTGGATGGGTAGTTTTTGAAGAAATCGGAAAGATTTGAAAAAAGGCCAAAAAAGTCAAAAAAGTGACTTTTCCTAAGTCTATAGCTCTTCCCCTAGCCAAGTTAAGGACCAACCACTAGTGCGGGGGAGTTTCATACAACCTGGTCTATCGATTAAACCCTTAATTCCAAATCTGGATGGGTAGTTTGAGGAAATCGATAATTTCCGAAAAAATAGGCAAAAAAATCAAAAAAGTGACTTTTCCTAAGTCTATAGCTCTTCCCCTAAGCAAATTAGGGACCAGCCGCTTGTGCATGGGGGGTTCCTACAACCTGGTCTATCGATTAAACCCTTAATCCCAAATCTGGACGGGTAGTTTTTGAGGAAATCGGAAAGATTTGAAAAAAGGCCAAAAAAGTGATTTTTCCTAAGTCTATAGCTCTTCCCCTAGGCAAGTTAAGGACCAGCCGCTTGTGCGGGGGAGTTTCCTACAACCTCGTCTATCGATTAAACCCTTAATTCTAAATCTGGATGGGTAGTTTTTGAGGAAATCGATAATTTCCGAAAAAATAGGCAAAAAAATCAAAAAAGTGACTTTTCCTAAGTCTAAAGCTCTTCCCCTAAGCAAATTAGGGACCAGCCGTTTGTGCATGGGAGTTTCCTACAACCTGGTCTATCGATTAAACCCTTAATTCCAAATCTGGATGGGTAGTTTTTGAGGAAATCGATAATTTCCGAAAAAATAGGCAAAAAAATCAAAAAAGTGACTTTTTCTAAGTCTATAGCTCTTCCCCTAAGCAAATTAGGGACCAGCCGCTTGTGCATGGGGGGTTCCTACAACCTGGTCTATCGATTACACCCTTAATCTTAAATCTGGACGGGTAGTTTTTGAGGAAATCGAAAATTTCCGAAAAAATGGGCAAAAAGTGAAAAAAGTACCGAGTTGTGAAGCTTTTCTAAGACCGTAGGGGGTGGGGTAGGGTAAAAATTGCTCTAAATTTCGAGCAGGCAGGTAGGTGAAACGCTACTGAATCCATTGGTACCACTTTTATGAGAATCTGACGGCTAGTTTTTTGGAAAAGCGAATTTTTCGAAAAAGCGTCTCAAAAGAAAAATAAAAAAAAATAATAATAAAAAAAAAATAAAAAAAAAAAACCAGATCTCATCTAGAAAAAACAAAAAAACGTTTTTATAATACCTGTTTAATAAATCAAACAGGAATTCAAAGAAAACAAGACTGCTCGTATCAGTGCGAAGCCCTGAATATTCCGCATGCCTTTTAAGGTCTATCGAGCATTAATGACATGAAAAAATTAAACATAATAAAAAAATGATTTTTTTTAATTTGAGATTTTGTGTAAAAATGATCCCCCCACACTCTAAATAAAGTACAAAGCGATAGATTTCGCTCCTAGTAACAAATCAATTCTGGCAAATTAGCTTCGTTCAACCAATTTGGAACGATTTCTAAGAAGGATTAAATCTCCGCTTATGCGTTAATAGCGCCAAATATATCGCGCGTTAATTGTCCCTAATTGGCCAAAATAGCACCATAAATTTACCAAAAATAATCACAGGTGAAATAAATTTTCTAATTTCCGCTCAGGACAACAATACCTTTTAAATGATACCAAAAAAAAAAGTCCATCAAAAATGGCTAGTTAAAAAGTCGAAATTTGTCTGAAGATAAAAAAAGACCGACCCCGAGCACAAATATTCCGTTACTTTCGTTATGAAAGTCGTAACAATAAATCTCCATGAGCATTAAAAGCGCGAAATATATCGCGCGTTAGTTGTTACAAATTGGCCAAAATGGCAACCTTTAAACCCCCATAACTTTACGAAAAATGATCACAGGTAAAATATCTTCTCAAATTTAGGCTCGGGGTAACAATACCTTTTGAATGATATTTAAAAAAAAATGCGTCAAAAATGGCTAGTTAAAAAGTCGAAATTTGTCTGAAGATAAAAAAAGACCGACCCCGAGCACAAATATTCCGTTACTTTCGTTATGAAAGTCGTAACAATAAATCTCCATGAGCATTAAAAGCGCGAAATATATCGCGCGTTAGTTGTTACAAATTGGCCAAAATGGCAACCTTTAAACCCCCATAACTTTACGAAAAATGATCACAGGTAAAATATCTTCTCAAATTTAGGCTCGGGGTAACAATACCTTTTGAATGATATTTAAAAAAAAATCCGTCAAAAATGGCTAGTTAAAAAGTTGAAATTTGTCTGAAGAAACAAAACCCACTCTGAGCACAAATATTCCGTTATTTTTGTTACGAAAGTCGGAACAAAAATTCATTTCTTTCCCATATATCCACCAGCAAATTGTGGCTCTCAACGCAAATGAGAAGCGGAGTTTCGTATCACTTGCAATACCACAAAAAAAACGCCAAACTTCGATATGTTTGTTTCAAGTCAGTTCAATTCAAGGAAAACATGTCGAGACACAAAATTGTCGGTGCTAAATTTTTATTGAAATGAAACTTATTAAATCGTAACTTAGCAGACAATCCTAATAATCGTATACTTGCTTTGAAATTCTATGAGGCAATTAAACTGACGTATCATGGGATAACTATACCGACATAACAAAAGCCGAAGAAACATTTCCGAAGTGGAAAAAATACCAAGGACATACTTATTCACTTATTAATTAGCTTTCTTCAGCCTGAAGGGATTTCTGGGGCTATAGCTCTTCCCCTAGCCAAGTTGAGGACCAACCACTAGTGCGGGGGAGTTTCATACAACCTGGTCTATCGATTAAACCCTTAATTCCAAATCTGGATGGGTAGTTTGAGGAAATCGATAATTTCCGAAAAAATAGGCAAAAAAATCAAAAAAGTGACTTTTCCTAAGTCTATAGCTCTTCCCCTAAGCAAATTAGGGACCAGCCGCTTGTGCATGGGGGGTTCCTACAACCTGGTCTATCGATTAAACCCTTAATCCCAAATCTGGACGGGTAGTTTTTGAGGAAATCGGAAAGATTTGAAAAAAGGCCAAAAAAGTGATTTTTCCTAAGTCTATAGCTCTTCCCCTAGGCAAGTTAAGGACCAGCCGCTTGTGCGGGGGAGTTTCCTACAACCTCGTCTATCGATTAAACCCTTAATTCTAAATCTGGATGGGTAGTTTTTGAGGAAATCGATAATTTCCGAAAAAATAGGCAAAAAAATCAAAAAAGTGACTTTTCCTAAGTCTAAAGCTCTTCCCCTAAGCAAATTAGGGACCAGCCGCTTGTGCATGGGAGTTTCCTACAATCTGGTCTATCGATTAAACCCTTAATTCCAAATCTGGATGGGTAGTTTTTGAGGAAATCGATAATTTCCGAAAAAATAGGCAAAAAAATCAAAAAAGTGACTTTTTCTAAGTCTATAGCTCTTCCCCTAAGCAAATTAGGGACCAGCCGCTTGTGCATGGGGGGTTCCTACAACCTGGTCTATCGATTACACCCTTAATCTTAAATCTGGACGGGTAGTTTTTGAGGAAATCGAAAATTTCCGAAAAAATGGGCAAAAAGTGAAAAAAGTACCGAGTTGTGAAGCTTTTCTAAGACCGTAGGGGGTGGGGTAGGGTAAAAATTGCTCTAAATTTTATGCAGGCAGGTAGGTGAAACGCTACTGAATCCATTGGTACCACTTTTATGAGAATCTGACGGCTAGTTTTTTGGAAAAGCGAATTTTTCGAAAAAGCGTCTCAAAAAAAAAAAAATAAAAAAAAAATAATAAAAAAAAAATTAAAAAAAAAAAACCAGATCTCATCTGGAAAAAACAAAAAAACGTTTTCATAATACCTGTTTAATAAATCAAACAGGAATTCAAAGAAAACAAGACTGCTCGCATCAGTGCGAAGCCCTGAATATTCCGCATGCCTTCTAAGGTCTATCGAGCATTAATGACATGAAAAAATTAAATATAATAAAAAAATGATTTTTTTTTAATTTGAGATTTTGTGTAAAAATGATCCCCCCACACTCTAAATAAAGTACAAAGCGATAGATTTCGCTCCTAGTAACAAATCAATTCTGGCAAATTAGCTTCGTTCAACCAATTTGGAACGATTTCTAAGAAGGATTAAATCTCCGCTTATGCGTTAATAGCGCCAAATATATCGCGCGTTAATTGTCCCTAATTGGCCAAAATAGCACCATAAATTTACCAAAAATTATCACAGGTGAAATAAATTTTCTAATTTCCGCTCAGGACAACAATACCTTTTAAATGATACTAAAAAAAAGTCCATCAAAAATGGCTAGTTAAAAAGTCGAAATTTGTCTGAAGATAAAAAAAGACCGACCCCGAGCACAAATATTCCGTTACTTTCGTTATGAAAGTCGTAACAATAAATCTCCATGAGCATTAAAAGCGCGAAATATATCGCGCGTTAGTTGTTACAAATTGGCCAAAATGGCAACCTTTAAACCCCCATAACTTTACGAAAAATGATCACAGGTAAAATATCTTCTCAAATTTAGGCTCGGGGTAACAATACCTTTTGAATGATATTTAAAAAAAAATCCGTCAAAAATGGCTAGTTAAAAAGTCGAAATTTGTCTGAAGATAAAAAAAGACCGACCCCGAGCACAAATATTCCGTTACTTTCGTTATGAAAGTCGTAACAATAAATCTCCATGAGCATTAAAAGCGCGAAATATATCGCGCGTTAGTTGTTACAAATTGGCCAAAATGGCAACCTTTAAACCCCCATAACTTTACGAAAAATGATCACAGGTAAAATATCTTCTCAAATTTAGGCTCGGGGTAACAATACCTTTTGAATGATATTTAAAAAAAAATCCGTCAAAAATGGCTAGTTAAAAAGTTGAAATTTGTCTGAAGAAACAAAACCCACTCTGAGCACAAATATTCCGTTATTTTTGTTACGAAAGTCGGAACAAAAATTCATTTCTTTCCCATATATCCACCAGCAAATTGTGGCTCTCAACGCAAATGAGAAGCGGAGTTTCGTATCACTTGCAATACCACAAAAAAAAAACGCCAAACTTCGATATGTTTGTTTCAAGTCAGTTCAATTCAAGGAAAACATGTCGAGACACAAAATTGTCGGTGCTAAATTTTTATTGAAATGAAACTTATTAAATCGTAACTTAGCAGACAATCCTAATAATCGTATACTTGCTTTGAAATTCTATGAGGCAATTAAACTGACGTATCATGGGATAACTATACCGACATAACAAAAGCCGAAGAAACATTTCCGAAGTGGAAAAAATACCAAGGACATACTTATTCACTTATTAATTAGCTTTCTTCAGCCTGAATGGATTTCTGGGGCAGCCATCGTGGCCCTCTTACGAAATGAGGAGATATCAGTTACTCAAAACCTGAAGCAAACTAAATCTAATTCTTGTGGACTCCCAGGTCAAACTCCTCACATTCCCCAGCTGCAATACATTTTCACATTTTCAAAAATTTAAACCATGCAAGGATCAATCCATTCCGAAATCGTGGTTATATTCACAGGTGAGAGCGATCTTTAAGATGGTGTAAAACCATCCACACTTTTTCCACGAGACGTTGCGGACGAAATTTCTCATTTCTTGAATCAAGTTACAAAAATAGCTGAAAGTATTTGTGCTTGGAAAAACTCACCTAAAAGAACAAGATCGAAAGCCGGGTACGCATTCATCAGCAATAGATAATATCGAGCAACCTCAAAGTTGACATACAGCATTTAACAGCATTCTATTCTGCACACTCAAGAAAACAACATCAAGTGGACTTTTAGCGGTATCTTTCAGCGCATCTACTCAAAATTAACTTGAATCGAGACAATTTTCAGCAACAAAAAACTCGTTAAGCAGTATTGTGTCAATTCTGTAACTTATTGCGAAACAAGCATACCCCCGGAAAATCCTCAAAAGGGTTCGTTTCGAATGCGGTTCGTTTGTCAGTGCGGTTTGCTACAGGGCCCACGAGTGTTTTGCTCGAAGCTTTTCAGGGGAGTTACAGTCTCAGTCTACAGGACCCAACCGCTGCTTCAGCTCTATTCTCTTCGCTGGTACTTTCATCAGGTTCTATAGCTGAGTTTGTTTTTTACTACCCAATTTATCATTCAATAATTCGTTTATCCACGACAATCAGCCAGCTGTTACTTGACCAAGCTTAGATTCTGTTGATGAAACTATTCTTTCCCGAATGGAAAAATTTGAAGCAAAAAAACTGAACAATTTTCTTTGGAAAAAAAGGAAAAAAACGATGCTGCTTGAATCTTCCGAGAAAATAAAGCAAGATTTAGTTGAGATTTAAAAAAAGAAGACGATTCTGAGGTAGATATAAAAGTAACTGAATTGAAAAATGTGAAGCAGCCGAAGTCAAAAACGGCCAAGACAAAATACAGCGAAATGACGAACAGAAGACACAAGACAATACCAAAAGCTCAACAACACATGAGAAACAAGAGTAGTCAGTTGAGGAGCAAAATTGTCTTTATTATTTTTTTTTCAATTCAGTGTCGTTTTTTTGCGGGGTGTAATGAGAGAACTATACTTACGCGTAAACTCGTTGTGAAATAGTCATAATCGATAACAATTGTCTTCAAAAATTACACAAGCTAGCGAATAGAACAAGAGACAAAAATAACAAAATCAATTTATTGAGAAAAACGAAGCCAATTTAGGAAAAACAGTCGAAAAACGCAACCACCAGTTTTAAATAAGGATTAAGTATTAAACAAGCTGCCATTAAGCCGACAAAAATTCAGTGAACCAAAAACGACAAAAAGCCATAAGAAATAGTTCATAAAAAAAATTAAACTATGAAAAATCTTGCAGCATAAACTGCCTGAATTTTCTCTGGGTCATGGCTATCAATTTACAAATTACAGGAGAAAATCAAAAACACCTGCATCTACGATGACAATTACTGACAGCGCAAGTAAATTCCCCAATATGTCAACTAGGCCGACAAAATAAAAGCAGACAAACGAAAATTCAATTTTTCCGAGAAACAAAACTCAATTTCATACATACGGAAAAAACAAGGACAGCCGGTTACTGTGCAAGTAGCCCAGAATGTTCCGCCCACAGTCTTAAAAAAATACTAAAATATTTTCTCAAGTTGGTGTCGTTTTTTTCTGCATTATGTGAAAAGAAAAATTAGAACGAAAAATAAGAACTTAACATATTTGAGAGTCATAGTAAAATAAGTCACATGAAAAACAGTTTTTAAAGAAAAGTGACTATAAAAACAAAAAAAACTGAAATTGCTGAAAATTTTTGAATTTTTCAAGTTTTTGATTCCCAAAATTGCGGCAAAGAACTCCAAAAACTATCTTTACCTGAGTAAAATTAAGTTTTCACGACTTAAACTAAGCTTAAATAAGCTATTGTAAGCATACACGGCTCATTAGCTCGAAATTAGACCCAATTAATTAGCTCGAAATTAGACGAAAAATCAAAAGTTTCACCAGTTTTTCTCGAAACTGGGAAAAATTTTGGAATTCTCTTTATGTCGTTCGAATCACGACTGAAAGGGCTTTAATATGATATATCACTCATACCTGTCCAATGATTAATTGTGGTGACTGATTTTGCGTGGAAAACACACCCGAATACAAAGTTTCTCCCCATTTTCAATGGTCGGAACTACAAAGTCCGGCCGGGACTCGAACCCGGACCTGACGGTACAAAGGCAACCGCGTTACATTTAGGCCGAGTGAGAAGGATTCTCGATGTTGCTAAGGTTCACTATTCAGGCAACTTCACAATTTCTGACAGATTTGTAAAAAAAAAGTTGTTCACGGGAAATGGCCTCGCAAAAGTAAACACAGAGGTGAAGCTCAGCTTCGCACCACTTGCGATACAACATTTATACAAGGAAATTGAATGTGAATTTAGAATCGGAAGAAAAACTACAAAGCTGAAAATACCTTAGCAAAAACTCTTTAGTCCAAAAAAACAAGTCCCCCTCGCCCTCAACACATACAAACTAAAAATTTTTCATTGCTCATCAAATGAACCAATAAGCTAGAGGCCACTAAGCCGATATAATAAAGGCCGAAACCAATTAAGCCGAAAAAAGGAAAAAATAGCCGAAAATTTATTTAAACATTTGAAGATTTATTAAAAAAAACTATTTAGTCCACCTCAACCTCAAAACACACAGGCACCCACCATTTTTTCGCTGGTCGACAAACGCAATATCAGGCCATTCAGCCGATATAACATAGGCAGAAACCAATTAAGGCCAATAGGGAAACGAAAAAACAAGAACGCCGAAAAAACTGTCGCCATGAAAAACTTGAACTATAATTTTTGTTAAGATTTAAGCAAAATTTGCGAACCAGATGTGAGCATAAAAACTATGTTTCACTTGAAATGACTCAAAATTAGGCCGATACAATTTGAGAAAAAATACAAGAAAAAGGGAACATATGCAAGTCAAGAATCACCGCAAGGGTAATAACAATTAAAAGTTAAAACATTTTTTTTTGCAGAACCGTTTATAAATTTTTTTGAAAGCTTTTATTGCCAAGGAGGCGCTAAATGAAACTTCCGAGGCTAGTTTTCCTTGTAAAAAACATGTTTTCTTAGCTTAAACCATATAAAGATCGTTACTCGCTCGAAAGTAGACTAAACTTCTTCCAGTTTTTCAAGACACCGGTTTAACTTTTTGAAATTTATATGTCCTTCGAATCGCGACTGAATGGGCTACAATATAAAATATCACTCGACCCATTCCGATGTTTATTTGTGGTACCTGCTCTTGTGTTTAAAAATCTGGCTCTTTTCCAGTTTCCCCCCCCCCCCCCCCTTTCAAATTCAATTTTGAAAAGTCTATTTAACGTTTTCATAATGCAATGAAATTTGGCGTGGTGAACAAATCGACAATTCTGAACATATTTGTTCTTCATACTCTACAGCTTAACATCACGCGTTTAGCCGTAATAACACGTAAAACAAACATAAAACTCGGTATTCTGAAAGGGGGGAACTGGAAAAGAGCCAAAAATCTAAAACACACCCGAAGACAGAAGTCCCTCAAAGAAAAATAGCTTTGAATTTAGGCTCAGTGCATCACTAGCTTTCAGATGATGCTAAAAAATATTCAGTCAAAAATGGCTTGTTGAAGAATTTGTCTGCAGACAAAAAATCACCCTAGCACAAATATTCCGCTAGATCAACTGGGATTATAACTCCTGTATGTTTTCAAACAATACTTAGAGTTATTTCTTCAAATTTTTAACGTGATTGATATACGCAAATAAACAATAGATTTAATACTGACGGGTATCCTTCGCTGCCAAATTGGGAAAACTCTCAAGTGAGAATGTGTATCCCTGCATACTGTGCTCGGATCCCACTACCCCTCGGTCAACTTGTTCCCCCCTCATTGTCTCTGACTCCGAATTGGTTGCTGTTGTAGTCATGGTACTAGACGCTATTACAGCTTCACTGGACATCGTATTGCATTCATACTTGGCGTTTCTTCTTCTTTTCTTCAATGAGAAAATTCGTCTAATTGCACTGGTTCTTGCCTTCAATTTGCGATGGCTTCTTATCTTCGGCTTGCTTGGTTCAACTACCTTCAAAGGAGGTGGCTTGACAAGTGCACTAAACATACTTTCTGGTGCATTGACTAGACCTTGTTGCACAATTGATGAGCGTTTGTGGTCACCGCGGTCCGATCCACATTCCGCATAGCTACTGCGGTACTGTTGGTTTCGCTGCGCATAATCAAATATCATTCCCGAGTCGCCCGAATTATTCGGCGATTGGGGCGCCCAAGAAATTCTTCTGGCCTTTTCTTGCAGTACCTTCGCGCCTGCTTCCTCTGCTGTCGGTTGGACTAAGAAAGTACCCGGTAAGCTGTGTTTTCCCCATTGCCGCTTCAGCGTGAAGAACTCGTGATCATCCGTTTCTTCATGCGAGTCTGCGTGATAGCATGAGACTCTGTTTTCGACGTCAACCCACTTCATGGCTTTGCCATTTCCTACTGTGTCGCTGGCTTTTTGGTTCTTCTTCTCCAGGGCAGCATGTGTGAACCACGGGTAGCTTTCGATCATCCATGTTTGGTTTTTTATTGACTTAGCCTGAAAATCTTAATGCGATAAAACTTCCCTCATATTATCAATTCGCCAATCATCATTCAACTGAAAAATAATTTACAATTTCAATTAAATGTGCATGCTAATAACATACACTTCATTCTGAATTCAAAAACAAATCGGAAACAAGCAAACAAATAGTTGTGAGCAAAAAAATGCCAACAATTGAAACAAATTTTAGTCTTAACAAAGCAAGCTACCACGAAATTATGCTCGTTTCCACGGCCCCACATTTGAGTATCAATTTCCAAAAAACATTCTGCGCTGCCATAATGAGATGAATTTCGCAAGGCGAGCAAGTCATATATTTTGAACAAATTCGTTCTTATTGCCTCACTTCGAATTACCACTCATTTAGTGATTAAAACGTTTAAAAACTACTTTTGATAATAAAAAATTTACCCTCTCCCCTGCCCTGTAAAAATTATTAACTCCTTCTACTCTTAATTTTAAAAATTATTCATCATGCGAGGAAATTTTGCATGGCAATTAAATTTACTACAGTGAACGGAGTTGATTTTCATACCTTACATCGTAACTTTAAGCATTTAGTCGTTATGACACGTAAAACAACTACAATGACGGAGTATTTAAAAATGTGCATGGGGAAAGGGGTAGAAAAGAGCCACAACCCATACCATTACTCTTCTTTGCTCTACGTGAGCGTTTACGTCCGACCAGTCGGGACTTGAACTTCTGTCGTTGCCACGCGGATTCAGCGACTCTGACAGCTGATCGTCGTTTTCAGCCTCGGGGCAACAGACGAATAAAACTAAATCCCGAACAACGCCAACTGTTTTAAAGAACAAATTCATCAACGAGCAAACTCCACACGAATGGTCTCATAGTTGACCATTCATAAAGCACGTGCTTGAAGTAATTAATCTACAAGGTCACGTGGTATTTTAAGGCCTGGCGTGCAAAAAAATCCATATTAGAAACCCATCCCCCGCACGCACTACACACGCACACATACCCATCTACATACACAACCATTCAGGATGATAGCCACTTGATTGCTGATGGTTAATATATTCCTAAGTGCTCATAATCAAGGTTTTTCAAGGATTAATTGAGAAAATAATTTTTAAAGATTAGAAGGTCAAAATTTTGAAGGCAACACAAGTTACGTCGAGCGTCCACAATTAACTGAATTTTTTCTTTTAATTGATCAGAAGGTCAAAATTGTCATGGCAACACAAAATATATCGAGCGTCCGCAATTATCTTGTTGATTAAAAATAACTTTGAATTTAGCAGATTGAGGCTCGTTTTTCTACCCAACCAACTCACACGAGATTCAATTTTATGATGATTTAAGTAGTTTTACAAAGTTAGTTGTAAAAGTCAAATACGTTTGTCATGGCCTAATCAGTCCTTATGTCAATATTCATGACAATCGAAAAATGTCCGGAATCGATAAACTACAGAACTAAAATAAGCTTCGCGCTCCTCAGGAGCTCTATAGGCTCTTTGTAGTAGTTAGAACATAGTTAAAAGATGCCCGAGGGAAAAAGAGCCCGGCCTGAGGGCACGAAGTGCTCGAGTGCGGCTCTTTTGCCCGAGGCCATCTTCAACTATGTTTAAACTGTTGAAGAAGAAAAGAAGAAAAGTATTAAATTAACATCTGAAAATAACATCAGATATACTAAAAATAAGAAACTGTGATGGAATGATGAAGCCAAGCGAGTTCACCAGTGCCTTGGTCCTTCTGGCTTTGGCGGCATTATTTGGAAGAATCATTAGCGGCATTATTAAGAAAAAATATTTGGGCGGTCGCGGCATTATTCGGAAGAATCATTGGTATGTATGTATTTGGAGGAATCATCAGTATGTTTTTACTTTTCATAAGGGAAAGATGGCACAAAATTGTGAAAGAGCCCCGATAATTGCTTAAGAGCCCGGAAAAGTGTGCGAATAATATACAGATGATTTCTTTTTTCATTCATGCGTTCTAATATTTCATTTTTCATTCATGCCTTGTCGTGAAACAACATGTATGAAAGAGCAAAAACATACTCTCCTTCCTTCCCCCCATCTTACAGAAACATCGATTTCATGGTGTAACGAGTGGTCTTACAAGGTTGAGTATGAAGACCAAACATGATTGTCATGGCCTAATTAGTCAGTATGCCAAAATTTGTAATCCGACAATGCGAACAAAAAATTTACTCTAAAAAATATGCATGTGGGGGAAAAGAAAAAGATCCGCTCCATACTATGTATAAGGGGGTGGAGATCGCTAGCAAAAATCAATAAATCGACATTTCTATGAGCTCTATTGTAGAATAAGGACGGCTCAGATAATTAATATTACGACAATGCATTTAATGTGATGCTGATACATGACTTCATTGATTCAATTAAAAAGTTCGCTATGCTTTTTTATAACGCTGGTATGGCCAGCTTGTGCACTAACCGTAACTTAACGAAAAGAGGGTCAAATAAAATGGGCCCTACCGTAATGCGACGGTCCGTGCACAGTTTGGATAGGGCCATAACAATGCTACATAAATACATCGGCAAAATTTTAAGAATCAATCAAGTTGATTCTTAGGCATCCAGAGAATTGCAAATTAAAAACTACCCTCTTCGATTATAGGCAGATGGAATTAACTATGTTGGATGTAATTTAAAGTTTTTTGAACCCCCTGAGGCAGAGGATTGCACTCTTCAGTAATTCAAAACCAGTTTTGGTTCTATAACGTTTTTTGTGATAATTCGTTCCGTTTGTCGTTAAAACTCTCTGCTGCTTTCTGGACGGTTTTTGAAGAGCCTGGTGCTGCTCCTCCAACACGCAAAAAATAGTGGAACAAAACTGCTGTGTTCCACATCCAGAATTCTATGTTGATATTTTAATTTTTCGACACTCTAATATTTGTAGGCGCCAGATATAGTTTAAGGATAGGATTAAGCATGGGCGTTGAAAATTTTTAGATCGAAAAGTTTGTCTGAGTCGGCCTCCCCGGAGTCTTTTTGCCTTGTTGTCAAATCGAAAGTCATCTTCAATAGTGTTGTTTTGTTGTGAAAACTTTCGCCTTTCAGCGATTGAAGTTTCGGTTCTATTTCAACATCAGGGCATACTTCGTCGAGGAGTGTCGCAAAGGTATCATAAGTTCCAATGGTCTTAGGTGAGTGTATCGGCTTTTGGGACAGTGTAGAGAGTGAGCCAGTGTGAACGGTTTTCCTCGTAGTCATTTATGTTGTGTGTTTGGTGGTTCCTATCCATATCTCAGATGCAAACCTTCTTTAAATTTTTATTTGCTGTGGGAAAAATTGTAGTTTTTTAAAGTTAATGCTTAGCCAGTTCGATGCTCCTTTCTGTGACGCTGGGTTTTTTGTTCAGTTATTTTTCTGATGAGAAATTTTCCATAATTTTTTTTTGAGAGTGTGAAGTTCTGTCTCTCAGATTTGAAGTTTCTATTTATCAGAGTTTGTTCCGTTTCAGCCATTCATGGAGCACTGATTTCTATTGGATCACAAATGACTCGTATCCATTCGTAACCTCTGGAAAAGTCCGTGTTACTGAGGAGGTCTAATCCTCCCATTCTTAATGGTAGCGCAAAATGGCTGCGATCATCATCGGTTAAATGATTTTTACAAATAATACTAGGAAGTAGCTGCTGTCGTACAATTTTTTTCAATTTCACACATTTTTAAATGCTTGTGCCTTTCGACAAGAAGGCCGTCAGAAAATGATTCGAAAAAACGAATTTTATCTGGAGTAGTTCCACTGTACGAAAGAGCAGTTTCTGTGATTAATGGTCTTATTTGACAAAGAGAACAAATTGAGGAGGGTCACTTTTAGTTACCATGCTTTTTTTAAAGATTCTTTCGAAAAACAGCGAAAATCAACCCGTGTAAAAAACCGTGTTTTCGCTTCCAGAGCAAAATTGCGACAACATCAAGAGAGACAACTATCGAGAAAACAAGAAGCCTTCCGAAATGTAAAAGAGTTTGCTGATACAATCGTTACCGGAAGGGTTGAACCGATCGGAAAGGCCAAGAGTGAAAACGGCAACCCTTGCTGATCGCGAAGAAGATGTCTCTTCAAGAATATTGAAGAAATAAGAAGGGTCTGGAGACATGCTCCTGAACTCTAGTTTTTAATACCTTTAAGCTTCTGGAGCTTTCCTGAATTTAATTTATTACAAGTGTTTTCAGTTTAAGGCTATGAGAAGCTAAGGGTTAAGAAATGTCAATCTATCTCCGATTGATAGGGTGATTTTTCTCTACTGTACAAAAACAATGGTAATATGGTAACTCAATAATGATAAAGTTTCTACATGGTTTTTAGGAGTGACCTCTTGGTCTGGGGAAACTGAGACCCAGCCACGAACTCACTATCTTGTATCCAACTGAGCCGATGTTATAAGGACCATTTTGAACTGCCTTTAGTAGAGACGGTGAAAAGCATGTGACGCTCTATCTTGACGCTAGCCAGTTGTTATTGGATAGAGTTTTGCTTTTAGTCGTTGTGTTTTGCGGCCTTCGATTACCTCTATGGCGCTTTCCCGGTTTTCCTTTCCTATGAATTGACACTTGCAGTGCTTCACATTTTAGCCGGAAGCCTTTCCGTGCACATCCTGGTTTGCAGTGTTGCATGGAGACTCACAAGATCACTTACAGCGCTTCCGTCATCTGCGTACCATTTTTGTATGATATTTGGTTTTTGCAGCAGTTCGATCAGTGGGATTAACCTTATTCCGTACATAGTCATTGAGAGGGGGTCAACCTGCGTTGTGCCTTCGATAGATGTCAAACCCGTGTTATTGACATATACTTTTGAGGGTTGTTTTTATGATGTGAGTTGACCCGGGCATGTTGTAGTGCCGGACAAAAGATTTCTATTGAGCGAGATGAAGGCATTTTCTGCATCAATAAATAGTATGGCGTCAGTTTCCGGTTTCTCAATTTCGTTCAAGCCGGGGAAAGCGTTTTTGATTCCACATTTTTGGCCTGAGCAGAGTTGAAAAAATTTTCCGGGATTTTCAACGCCTGATTTTATACATTGGGTGATTCTTTTGCC